ATCTCCTGGGCCCTCACCCTGTGTGTTTACCTGCAGATCCAGTATTTCCTGCAGAGGCGGCCGTCCATGAAGGCCCTGTTTGTGGACAGCTACAGTGAGATGCTCTTGTAAGTGATGCGTGGACTTAGGCTCCACTTGGCCCGCTCCTGAGGTGACAGCAATCAGAGTTTTTGTTGTTGTTGTTGTTATTTAAGATTTATTTATTTATTTGAAAGGCAGTGAGAGAGAGAGAGAGGTCTTCCATCTACTGGTTTACTCTCCAAATACCCACAACATCCAGGATGGGGCCGGACCAAAGCCAGGAGCCTGGAACACAGTCTGGGTCTCCCGTGTGGGTGGCAGGGACCCAGCTACTTGAGCCATCGCCTGCTGTCTTCCTGGGCGTACATCAGCAGGCAGCTGGGTGTGAAGCCGAGCCGAGCCCTGACCACTCTGCTGTGGATAAAAGTATCCCAAGTAGCAACTTACCCTCTGCACTGCGTGCACGCTCCCAAGGAGATGCATTCGAATCCCACTGAAGCTAGTGTGTTCCTGGGACTTGCAAACCCCAGCCTGGGAGTTCTCATTGCTTCCCCCCGGGTGGGAGTTTCTGTCTCTTTCTGCTACCTTCCTCTGCCTTGTACCCACCAAGCCCCCGTGTCTGAGTTCAGCACGTCCTCAGTATTTCCCTCTGGTGGACACACGCGGTACAATGGCGGAGGGTGCCGGGGCGCCGGCCTTCAGTGTGCAGATCTTGACTCGCTTTGCTTCCGCCTAGAGAGGCATCGTTTCCTTCACTGTCACCTTGGAGATCCTTTCACATCTCTCCTGGGATCCACAGAGACATTTTCTTCAACCTTCTGCCTGGAGGAAAGAAGTCTGGCCATCAGCTTAGAGCTGAGTGGGGAGAGGGGTTTTTCTGTAACGTTTTGTGCGCTATCACACAATGCCCCTGTTCCTGGTGAGATACCAATGCTTTTCAGGGTGCTGGGTGATGCAGAGTCCGAAGACCCCCTGTTCTACCTCTTTTAGGGACTCTATTCTTCCTCTTATTTTAGGTCCCCTCCCCCTCCTCTCCTCTTCAGGGGTCCCTAAGCTTTTTGTGAAGCTCCTTGCTTAAAAGGCGTGGTTCGCAGCTTTCCCCGCTGCTGGCTTCCGAGTTGGCTTTCTTGAATCTGTCCAGTCACTTTCCATTTGTCCGCTGCTTTCCAGATCCCAGCTCCCTATGTGGGGTCCCCATTTGTTGCCAGAGACAACCCTTGACCCAGCTCACCTGTGCTTGTTTTGGCCCAGGGTTCGACAGGTGCTCCGGGATGGTTTTCCTTGGCAGAATAGAAATGGACTGCAGTTGGTGAGCTGGCGTGTTGATGTCAGCTTCCAACAGACTCCGATCAGCACGGGGTGGCTTTCTGCTGGGCTGTCTCACCCAGACAGGAGGGAAGGCGGTCAGTGCAGTTGGCAGAATCAGTGCAGCCGGGGGACTGGCTGGAGGAGGCCATAAAGGGACCGTTGGGCAGTCCCCCAGCCCATCCAGGGCTCCTACTTGGGTACCCCACACTGGGCTAAGGCGCTTAGGGACACTTCCCTGGGTTGCTCCTAGTTTGAGGGTGTGGCCAGCAGACCTCACCTGTGGCTTTCCGGGAGAGTTTGGCCTGTTCTCTCCCCTCCACCACCTCCAGGCCTAGAGCTCCTAGGTTACCTATTCTTCAGTGAGACTTGTTCCCAGGGACTAGGCAGGAGGGTTTTCAGGCTAACTCAGTGTTTCTGCATGCCTTTTCTTGATTGCCTTTTCAGACATTTCTTTCCGTATGCCTGTCCTGTGAAACCCTCAGATACGAGCTTACTGTGCATCTGTTTAGGAACAGATGGTCCGTGACTTAGGCTTTTATGACTTGACGAGTTTTTGACCTTGTGATGTTGAGAAGGCAAGGCATAGCCAGTAAATGCTGTACTTTGAGTTTTGCATTTTGATACTTTCTTGGGCTGGTGAGGGGAAGCGTGACCCTCTCTTGAGAATCTGGACAACAGCCGTGAGCGCAGCTCCTGGTCAACACCTAGTTGGGAAGGGCACACGGCTGAGACTTGACCGTGCGCAACGCGCTGAGCTAGTGGCTTCCGTAGTTTTGGGATAGTAAATGCATTTTTGAATTATGACATTTCCAACTTCTGATGGGCTTGTCAGGATGTAACCTCATTGTCAGTCAAGGAGCATCTGCACTATATTTAGATCTGTGCTTTATGCATAAAACGGAGTAAGGGCTTGCAACCCCAGCCAGTTTGTGCCCGTGGAGGGCCATCTTGCTCTCAGTGGAAACGCATGGGCTACAGTGGGAAGCAGGACAGCCCAACCCCGGCTCCTCAGATGACTGCAGCGTAGGCCTTGGAGGACAGACCCCAGCAGCTGGGAACCTTTCACTGTGGGGCTGTCAGGCCTCCCAGTGTCCCACAGGCAGAATTCCCAGCCCCCCCACCCTCAGCTTCGTGCAGGCCCTGTTCATGCTGGCGACGGTGGTGCTGTACTTCAGCCACTGCAAGGAGTATGTGGCGACCATGGTGTTCTCCCTGGCCTTGGGCTGGATCAACATGCTCTACTACACCCGTGGGTTCCAGCAGATGGGCATCTACGCCGTCATGATCGAGAAGGTGGGTGCCGCTGTCCACACACTCTGTCGTGTCTGTGCTGTCTGCGGAGGGGCTGCTTTAGTTCGTAACCCCAAGAATCAGGCAACCCACCCTTGACCCAGGAGTGGGGGGCTCCCCCTTGAAATCTGACCCCTCTGCATCCCAGGCCTCCCCCCTCTTCCCCTAGCAAGGGCCGTGGGGAGAGATGTGGAGGATTCCTCATGACCAGTGAGCTGGAAGCGAAACCCCCAAACCCTCTTGTGTGTGCCCTGATTCTGCCTGGACTTGAGAGGAACCCCCAGGCTGATGGAGGCCAGGCTCTGCCCGTGGCTCCCCTGGGCCTGGACGTGGCTCTGATGAGCCCGCTCTCTCCCGCAGATGATCCTGAGGGACCTGTGTCGTTTCATGTTTGTCTACCTGGTGTTCTTGTTCGGCTTTTCCACAGGTACTGGGCTTGGTGGGGGCTGGTGGGAAGGCAGGGTTCCTGCTGCCCTCTGCTGTCTGAGGACCCTGCAGGGGGCTGCAGGAGGAGGAGTCAGGAGGGGCGCACAGGTGCGAGTCTGCAGGCGGCAGAGTACACGGACCACCGGAAAGAGCCCAAAAACTTGGAAATGAGATTTATAAACTGTTTCCAGTTGTTTCGGAGGTAGGAAGGGTGGCTTGCCTGCAGTGTAGCTGTTGGCTTAGTTTTTTCAGTTTTTAATTTTGACTTAATCTTAGACTTACGAGAGGGCTGCAGGCTTAGTATAAGTGACTTCTCTGTGCTCTTTACCCAGATTCCCCACATTTTACCACTTTTTTTTTTTTTTTTGACAGGCAGAGTGGACAGTGAGAGAGAGAGAGACAGAGAGAAAGGTCTTCCTTTGCCGTTGGTTCACCCTCCAATGGCCGCCGCGGCCAGCGCGATGTGGCCGGCGCACCGCGCTGATCCGATGGCAGGAGCCAGGAACCAGGTGCTTTTCCTGGTCTCCCATGGGGTGCAGGGCCCAAGCGCCTGGGCCATCCTCCACTGCACTCCCGGGCACAGCAGAGAGCTGGCCTGGAAGAGGGGCACCGGGACCAGAATCCGGCGCCCGACCGGGACTAGAACCCGGTGTGCCGGCGCCGCTAGGCGGAGGATTAGCCTAGTGAGCCGCGGCGCCGGCCTCACATTTTACCACTTTTAAAAACCACTTTCTCGCCTCCTACACACACACACACACACACACACACACATGTATCCCAGACTTAACATCTAAGAGTAAGTTGCAGACATGACCAGCCCTTTATCACTAAATATTTTATTTTATTTTATTTTTTATTTTATTTTATTTTTTTTTGACAGGCAGAGTTAGACAGTGAGAGAGAGAAACAGAGAGAAAGTTCTTCCTTCTGTTGGTTCACCCCTGAAATGGCCGCTACGGCTGGCGTGCTGCACCGATCCAAAGCCAGAAGCCAGGTGCTTCCTTCTGGTCTCCCATGTGGGTGCAGGGCCCAAGCACTTGGACCATCCTCCACTGCCTTCCCGGGCCACAGCAGAGAGCTGGACTGGAAGAGGAGCAACCGGGACAGAACCAGTGTCCCAACCAGGACTAGAACCCGGGGTGCCGGTGCCGCAGGTGGAGGATTAGCCTAATGAGCCGTGGTGCCGGCCAATCACTAAATATTTTAGTATGCATTTCATAAAAACAAGACCAGTGTCTTCCATAAACACTGTATAACCACCAAAATCAGGAAAGGAGCACTGATCTACAGTGTTCTGTAGTCTGCAGCCCTTATTAGAATTTCACCAGTTGTCCTAACAGTGTCTCTTACAGAAATGAAAACCTGGGACCGTGCATTCCATTGCATTGTTGTGCCTCTTTAGTTTCCTTTATTCTGGAGCAGTTCCTCCGGCTTTCCTTGCCTTTTGTAAGCATCATTTTCTCTGAGTGATGTCAGGTGTTTGGTCCAGTCTCTCTCGGTCTGGGTGTGTCTGGTGTTTCTTCCTGAGTGGATCCAGGCACGCGCTTTGAGCCGGAAGACCAAGGAAGCCCTGTGTGTCTTCTGCAGTGCGTTGTATCGGGAGCCACATGATGCCTGTTTGTCCTGCTTCTGGCCACGCTCACCTGCCTTACTTGGTTTTGGTGGGTCTGGGAGATTTTTGCCACTGTAAAGCTTCTCTCTGTCCCTTGTAGTTGATAAGTAGCTTGGGAGGAGATGCTGTGAGACTCTGTCTCTATCCCTTTCTCACTCTGACTCAAGAGTTTTCGTATCCATTGATGATTCTTACCTGAGTCACTTCACACTCTGATGGCTGTCAGACGGTGACATTCTAACTCCATCCCTCCTTCTAGAGTTGTTAGCTGGTCTTCTGTTACGAGGACGAGCTTTCCCTTCCCCTACCTGTATTGGTTTATTCACATCAAGATGGCCTCCAGGCTCTCTCTTTATTAAATAGATTATAATCCTTACTACCATCATTTGCCCTGCTGCTCAAATTGTCAGAGCTTGGGTCACCGGGAGACCCTTCAAGTGGACCCCTGTGCCCTTTTTTTTTTTTTTTAAGATTTATTTATTTATTTGATCAGAGTGACATAGAGAGAGGAGAGGCAGAGAGAGAGAGAGAGAGAGAGAGAGAGAGAGAAGTCTTCCATCCGATGGTTCACCCCTCAGATGGCTGCAACAGCCAGAGCTGTGCCGATCTGAAGCCAGGAGCCAGGAGCTTCTTCCAGGTCTCCCACATGGATGCAGGGGCCCAAGGACTTGGGCCATTTTCTACTGCTTTCCCAGGCTATAGCAGAGAGCTGGATTGGAAGAGGAGCAGCCGGGACTAGAACCGGCACCCATATGGGATGCTGGTGCTTCAGGCCAGGGTGTTAACCCACTGCGCCGCGGCGCCGGCCCCGACTCCTGAAACCCTTTGACAGCTCCGCATCGTTTCTTGAGCAGGTGGCCCCGCTTTGCTCCCCACCAGGGTCCTGCATTTACATGGTGCACATGGGCCATGCTCCCCTGTTCCCTGTCTGCACTTTGCTTTGGAATCCATGTCTGGGAGGGACAGGCAGCTGTGGGCTCCGGCACCAGGATCTGATGGCCCTGTGTGTCAGTAGCCACAGGAAAGGGTTGGCCAGGAGGGCAGCAGATCCCGATGTGTAGTGACCATGGTGCACAGCTGCTACAGATGTTCTCGGGCTCTGGGTCACACTCCCACAGAAGAGCGCAGAATGCAGGAAGTGGGCGCTCGCTCCGCTTCCATCTGCTCAGCACCTGTGGTTTGGGAGCAGGCAGACCAGCTGTGACTGATTAGGGTGGTCTGGAGCCAGGGCTCACGTGTAAGGTGAAGAAGGTTGTGCACTGCACAGAGGAAGCTGTGTTCACACTGTACGTGTAGATTTGTGTATTTAGCTTAATATTTTTCCAAGTAAATTTTGAGGACGAAGTTCTTACTGTAACAAAGCAGTGTCTTATGATAATTTCTGACAGTCTTGAAGAATGGGTGATTTTAAACACAGTTCACACAAAGGTTGCATATGGCTGAGACGTACCCCTGCTGCAGACTGATCCTGGGCGGGAGGGAGCAGCCAGGGGGCCTGGGGTCTTGGCTTCCCTCCAGCTGCACCCCCTCCCCATGACCCCTAGCGGTGGTGACTCTGATTGAGGACGGGAAGAACAGCTCGACGTCTGCCGAGTCCACGTCGCACAGGTGGCGGGGGTTTGGCTGTCGGTCGTCCGATAGCTCCTACAACAGCCTGTACTCCACATGCCTGGAGCTGTTCAAGTTCACCATTGGCATGGGCGACCTGGAGTTCACCGAGAACTACGACTTCAAAGCCGTCTTCATCATCCTGCTGCTGGCCTACGTGATTCTCACCTACATCCTCCTGCTCAACATGCTCATCGCGCTCATGGGCGAGACGGTCAACAAGATCGCACAGGAGAGCAAGAGCATCTGGAAGCTGCAGGTGGGCCCGGGGCAGGGGTGGGGGCAGGGGGCCGGGGCAGGAGGTAGGGGGCAGGGGCAGGGGGCAGAGGCCAGGGGTCAGGGGCAGGGGCAGGGGACCAGGGGGCAGAGGCAGGGGCGGGGGCGGGGCAGGGGGCAGGGGCAGGGGCAGGGGGCCAGGGGCAAGGGGGCAGAGGCCAGGGGTCAGGGGTCGAGGGGCTGGGGCAGGGGCCAGGGGGGCAGAGTCAGGGGCCAGGGGCAGAGACCAGGGAGCAGAGTCAGTGCCGAGGGAAGAAGCCGGGGCTAGGGATCGGGGGCAGAGGCAAGGGGCTTGGGGGCAGAGGCAAGTAGCAAGTGTGTGACAGCTGCTTCCGTATAAGAGATGGGGGGCCACAGCGCCAGGCCCCTCTTCTTTGTCTTTACTTCATGATTGGAGCCTTGGAGCACTTTTTTTTTCTTTCTGTTTGCTTATAAAATATCTAAAAGGCTGTTGTGAACCACAGCCACCCAGCTACGCTGTGTAGTACCAGGAACTCCTTCCATCTAACTCTGACTTGGTACCCATTATCCTAACTCCCTCCATCGACCTCCAAGCCCTCCCAGCCCCCAGGAATCACCATTCTAATCCGTGTTCAGATCGGGGAGGTGTTTTTTGAGCTCCCACATTTGAGGGTAAACATGGGGTGCTGGTCTTTCCATGCCTGGCTTATTTCACTTAACCTTATGTCCTCCAGTTGTAGCCATTTTGCTGCAAATGACAGGATTTCATTGTTTCCTGTAAGTGGACAATATTCCATCGTGTCCACACAGCACACTGTCTTTATCCAGATATCTGACAGCGGACCCTTGGGTTGAATCTGTACCTCGCCTGTTGTGACTAGTCCAAGGCCTTCCTCTTGCCCGCAACTCTACGTTGGCCCCTTGTGAACTTCTCCGGGAGGGGTCCGCCATCCCAAATCACTCATGGGACTGAGCTGCACAGACCTGACAGGCATGGGCTGTGCGCGGGCAGATCTGGGGCCGGACGGGCTGGGCTCCTGCAGAGCAATGGGCACCTACCGGGCAGTGGAAGGTCCAGCTCGCAGGTGTTGGGGGCTGGGAGGCTGCAGGATGAGCCCCTGCCCTGTGGGTCTTCCTGCAGAGAGCTATCACCATCCTGGACACAGAGAAGGGCTTCCTGAAGTGCATGAGGAAGGCCTTCCGCTCCGGCAAGCTGCTGCAGGTGGGCTACACCCCCGACGGCAAGGACGACTGCAGGTGGTGCTTCAGGTAATGGCCCAGCAGGAGTCAGCGCTGCGGGAGCCAGGCGTGGGTGCACAGGCTGCCTCGGGCCTCCTGGGGTCGGTCATGAGCGTAGGGAGCTCCCCCAAGGGCAGCGGTAGGTCTAAGGACTGCTGCCTCTAGCTGTGGGCACAGGTGCCTTAGACTTCAGCGGATGGGATCCAGACATTCAATTCTGGACATTGTGAGAAATTTAAAAACTTTTAAATTTTTTGAATTTAAAATTTAAAAGTTTTAATTTTTTTAAAAAAAATTTTAAATTCAAAAAATTTAAAATTCCTGGGCCTCTGGTGCCCGAGAAAACACACCCTTAGAGGTGGCGCCCAAAAGTAGGGCCATCTGCCTGCTCTCCCACCCCCAGCTGCACCTCCATCCTGATCTGCGGGCTCTTGGGACTGGCCACTGGGGCCACGCGCTCAGCCTGTTCCCTCGCCCCACAGGGTGGACGAGGTGAACTGGACCACCTGGAACACCAACGTGGGCATCATCAACGAGGACCCGGGCAACTGTGAGGGCGTCAAGCGCACCCTGAGCTTCTCCCTGAGGTCGGGCAGAGGTGAGGCGTGAGGGGCGGGTGCTGTGGCTCAGAGAGGCCTCGTCGTCTGGGGGCCTGGTGTTGGGCAGGTGGAACCGTGAGGGTCGCCCACTCCTTGCAGGTCTTCCTCAACCCCCCAGGACCTGGTGCTGCAGCAGCCCCAGACGTCAGCTATCCCCACACACTCAGCCCCAGGACCTCTTACCCACGCAGTGCCCACTCGGGGTGCCCATGCAAGTCAGCTCTACAAGCACCCGGGGCCCAGATACTGCCCAGTGCCCCAGAGGAAGCTGCTGAGCCCACATCCAGCCCCAGGGGTGGCCAGCTCGTGTGGGCTGCCCTGTTTCTGAAGCCCCTTGTGTGCTGACAGCTGTGTGAGGCTGTGCAAACGTGTGCAGGTGCACGTGAGCACTGGGGCAAGTGCAGGGGAGGGCAGGGGAGAGGAGGCGCGTGGGCACCTGCTGGATCACGTGGTAATTCTATGCCTCGCTTTTTGAGGAAATGCCAAACTGTTTTCCAGAGCAGCTGCCTTGTTTTGTATTCCTGTCAGCAACACTTGAGGTTCTGATTTTTTCGACATCCTCACGATATTTCTTATTTCTTCCTTCTCGTCCCCCTCCCTCCCTCCCTTTCTTCCTTTTCTTCCCTTCTTTGTTTCTTCTATTTTTTTTTTTTTAATTACTGCCATCCTAGTAGAGGTGAGTGGCATCTCATTCTGGTTCTGATTTGCATTTCCCTGGTGACTAATGATGTGCTTAACTTCCACTTATAAATCTTCTTTGGAGAAATGCCTGTTCAAGTCCTATCCTGTTTAAAAGGATTTTTTTATTAGTTGAGTTTTGGTTTTCTTTGTGTATTCTGGATATCAAGCATTCATCAGATATGTAATTTACAAATATTTTATTCTAATCTTTGCATTCTCTTGGTAGTATCCTTTGATGCATAAAAGTTTTAAATTTTTAAAAATTATTTATTTATCTGAAAGGCAGAGTTATCAGAGAGAGAGAGATCTTCCATCTGCTGATTCACTCCTTAAATGGCCGCAACAGCTGGAGCTGGGCCAGCCTAAAGCCAAGAGCCTGGAGCTTCCTCCAGGTACAGGGGCTCGAGCATTTGAATCATCCTCTGCTGCTTTCCCAGGCACATTAGCAGGGAGCTGGAGCTGAAGTGGAGCAGCCTGGTTTCAAACCAGCACCCATATGGGATGCCAGCACCATAGGTGGTAGCTTTACCAGCTATGCCACAGTGCGGCCCCAATCCAGCTCTCTGCTATGGCCCGGGAAAGCAGTACAAGATGGCCCAAGTCCTTGGGCCCTTGCACCCGCGTGGGAGACCTGGAAGAAGCTCCTGGCTTCTGGCTTCAGATCGGCGCAGCTCCGGCCATTGCAGCCAAATTGGGGAGTGAACCATCAGATGGAAGACCTCTCTCTCTCTGCCTCTCCTCTCTCTGTGTAACTGTGACTTTCAAATAAAATAAAATAAATCTAAAAATTTTTTTTGATGAAGTCCAACTTCTCTTTTTCTTTCATTGTCTATTTTTTGGGTGTCATATCCAAGAAATTGCCAAATTCAATGTTGTGAAGATTTTTTTCCTATAATTTTATCTAAAAATTTATAGTTTTAGCATTCTATGATTTTAAAATTGCTTTTTTGCTTGATTTTGGTGTTTCTTTACTTGCTCTGAACCTTGGACTGTTAACTAGAGTTGTGACAATATTGGTGCTAAAGTTTTTGCTTGTTCGCTTTCTTTCTTTCTCTCCCTTCCTTTCTTTCTTTCTTTCTCTCTCTTTCTCTCTCTCTCTCTGTCTCTGTCTCTCTCTCTCTCTTTCTTCCTTTCTTTCAGATCCAATTATTTATTTGAAAGGCAGAATTATAGGAGGGAAGGAAAGAAAGAGTTACCTTCCAGCTGCTGGTTCACTCCCTAAATGGCTGCAACGGCCAGAGCCGAGCCAGGAGCGTCATCTGAGTCTCCCATGAACTTGGGCCGTCCTCCACTGCTTTTCCCAGGCCTTTAGCAGGGAGCTGGATCAGAAGTGGAGCAGCTGGGATCATTGCCCATATGGGATGCTGGCACTGCAGGTGGCGACTTTACTGGCTGTGCCACAGAGCTGGCCCCTCTCTTTTTCTTCTTTTATTTTTTTATGTCTGTGAGGACTTGGGGGTTTGAAGCTCTTGCTTTACCATTGTGCTGATGTCACTCAAGTCAATTCTTAGAATGAATAAAGAATGAATCAGGGGCCAACACTGTGGTATAGCAGGTAAAGCCACCTCCTGAAGTGCTGGTATCCCATATGGGCACTGGTTCGAGTCCCAGCTGCCCCACTTTCAACCCAGCTCTCTGCTATGGCCTGAGAAAGCAGTAGAAGATGGCCCAAGTGCTTGAGCCTGTGCACTGTGTGGGAGACTTGGAGGAAACTCCTGGCTCCTGCTTTCAGATTGGCCCATCTCTGGCTGTTGTGGCCATCTGGGGAGTGCACCATTGGATGGAAGACCTCTCTTGCTCTCTCTACCTCTGCCTCTCTGTAACTCTGCCTTTCAAGTAAATAAAAAAAAAAAATCCGTGTTGATAGTTTGTGTGTGTGTGTGTGTGTAGTGGGGGGGGGAGCTGGCATTGTGGTGCTAGTTCAAGTTCCAGCTGCTCTACTTCAGATCCAGCTCCCTATGAATGCACCTGGGAAGGCAGTGGATGATGGCCCAAGTACCTGGGCTCCAGCCACTCATGTGGGAGACCAGATGGAGCTCTGGTTCCTGGCTGCTGTAGTCATCTGGGGCGTGAGCCAGCAGATGTAGGATCTTTCCCTCTCTGCCTCTCCCTCTCTGTCACTCCACCTCTCAAATAGATAAATAAAATTTTTTTTATTTATTTGACAGAGTTATAGACAGTGAGAGAGAGAGAGACAGAGAGAAAGATCTTCCTTCTGTTGGTTCACTCCCCAAATGGCCGCCATGGCTCCAAAGCCAGGAGCCAGGTGCTTCTCCTGGTCTCCCATGCAGGTGCAGGGCCCAGGCACTTGGGTGGGCCATCCTCCACTGCCCTCCCGGGCTACAGCAGAGAGCTGGACTGGAAGAGGAGCAGCCTGAACTAGAACCCGGTGCCCATATGGGATGCCGGCGCCGCAGGCAAAGGATTAACCAAGTGAGCCACGGCACCAGCCCCAATAAATAAATGTTTAAAAAAAGAAAGATAATTTTTTGGCAGGTAGGGGAAAGGTTATAATTTTTCAGACCAATTTTCCTGATAGAATAATTCTGTGTCTTTCTTATTTGATATTGTTTCATAGAGAAGTTCATTTTAATATTTCATAAACTTAAAAAATCAACCTTACTGAGACAGAATTTACATGAAAATCCATTTATTTGTTGTTTTTTTAAAAGGTTCTCACATTAACTTTTTAAAAAGTATTTATTTATTTTCTTTTTACTTGGAAGGCAGAAAAAGAGAGAAATAGATCCTCCACCCACTTCACTCCCCAAATACCTACAATAACCAGGAGTGGTCAGGCCAAAACCAGGAGTCAGGAACTCAGTCTGATCTCCCATGTGAGAAGCAGGCACCCACATACTTGAACCATCACCGCTGTCTCTAAGGGTGTGCAGTAATGGAAGCAGAACCAGGATCCAAACTCAGGTTCTCCAACGTGAGACGTGGGCGTCTCAAGAAGCATCTTAATGGCTGTGCCAAATGCCTGCCTCTCACATTTTTTTTTAAAAGATTTATTTATTTTTTACTTGGGAGTCAGAGTTACACAGAGAGAGGAGAGACAGAGAGAGAGAGAGAGAGAGGTCTTCCATCCGATGGTTCACTCCCCAGATGGCCGCAACAGCAGGAGCTGCGCTGATTCGAAGCCAGGAGCCAGGGGCTTCTTCCAGGTCTCCCACTTGGGTGCAGGGGCCCAAGGACTTGGGCCATCTTGTACTGGTTTCCCAGGCCACAGCAGAGAGCTGGATTGAAAGTGGAGCAGCCGGGACTAGAACTGGCGCCCATATGGGATGCTGGCGCTTCAGGGCAGGGCATTAACCCGCTGTGCCATAGCGCTGGCCCCCTCTCACACATTTTAAATGTAGAGTTTTATAAGTTTTACCAAAGTGCTCACTCAGGCAACCACCCCACTAGAAATATAGAACATTTCTGTGGCCAGAAAGTGCCCTCATGTTTCACCCATCCCATCCCATCCTGGGTGACTATTGATCTTGTTTCCTTATTCAGATTTATTTATTTATATTAAAGAGTGGCAGAGAGAGAGAGAGAGGGAGAGCAAGAGCAAGAGAGAGGGGGGGAGAGAGAGGGAGAGAACAGAGACATCGTTCAATCTTCCATCCCCTGGCTCACTCCTCAAATGGGTGAAACAGCTGGGGGCTGTGCCACGCTGAAGCCAGAAACCTGGAACTCCATCTGGGTCTCCCATGTGGTGGCAGGGACCCAAGCACTGAGCCATCTTCTGTTGCCTTTCCAGGCTCATGAGCAAGGAGCTGGCTTGGAAACGGAGCAGCTAGGACTCGAACTGGCACTCGGAAATGAGATGCCATTGTCCTAAGTGGTGGCTTGACTGGATCACTATGGATTTGTTTTATATAGGCTTTTTTGAAAAAGATTTATTTATTTATTTGAAAGTCAGAATTACATAGAGAGAGAGGGAGGGAAGGAAAGCGAGAGTGATATATATAGAGAGATCTTCTATCCACTGGTTTACTCCCCAAATAGCCGTGGTGGCCGGGGCTGGGCCAGACAGAAGACAGGAGCCTGGAACTCCATTGGGGTCTCTCATATGGGTGGCAGGGACCCAGGCATCTTCCCCTGCTTTCCCGGGCACATTAGTAGGGAGCTGGATGAGAAGTGGAGCAGCTGGGACTCAAACCAACGCTCTGATATGGGATGCTGGTGTTGGAGGTGGCAGCTTAGCTCGCCGCACCACAACACCGGGCCTTAATGTTTTTAGATGGTATATTGGGTGTAGTGGACAATGTACTATAGATAACTCTGGTTTCTGTTACCTTCCTTTAAAAATATTGACTTTTTAGTTGTCGGTTCAGTTATGATGGGGCATCTCATTCCAGAGCTGAGTGGTTTGGATCATGGGCTAAGGCTGGGAGGTGTGAGCTTAGGTTGGCTTCCAGGGGGATCAGACCCAAGGCAGCCAACCAGAGGGCTTGGCTGTGCAAACAGAAGAGTGCACACGTAGCATTCATCTGGCTGGCATTCCACTGAGGTGGCCAGAGGGCTGGAGGCGGCTATGGGGGTGATGCCTGGGCCTTCTTGGCAGCTTCCGGGGATTCCAGGCCACACTTGGGGTCCCCATTTGAGGCCCAGTGTCCCCAGGGTGTTTGTTCCTGGGCACTGTTCTCAATCTGCTGTGTCCTGGGATCCTTGGGCTCGGCACCCGCGAGCTGACCTGTGGAGACCCCTCCCTCTCCCATGCAGGCAGGAGGGAACCAGAGGTGGGGACAGGGACGCGCTGGGTTCTCACGGCGTCTCAAGCAAGGGTGGGGTGGAGGAGGCGAGTTGAAGGAGCTCCCAGAGGGGAGCAGGGAGTGTGGCGTGCCTGAGCCTCCCTGAGCTGAGACGGAGGAGGCCGGCCGGGAGTGCTGTGTGGCAGCGTCCAGGGCCCCAGTGACATCTCCCTCTTCAGTTTCAGGGAGAAACTGGAAGAACTTCGCCTTGGTTCCCCTTTTAAGGGATGCCAGTACCCGAGACCGGCACCCCGCCCCTCCCGAGGACGTCCACCTGAGGCCCTTTGTGGGCTCCCTGAAGCCGGGGGACGCCGAGCTCTTCAAGGACTCTGTGGCCGCGGCAGAGAAGTGAGGAATCCACGGGGGCGGGCGCCCTTGGCGCGGGCCCCCAGCCCGCTCACCGACTGCCCCAGGAGAGCTGCCTCAGGGACTCCCCCAGCAGGAAGTGATCTGGCTTCCCACTTTTTCTGCTGATGGACTAGACAGCAGGGGTGGTTAATTTCTACTCGGATGCCTCGAGGCCCTGGCTTGCTTCAGCTTTGCGTTACTGTCAGGGCCAGCAAATGGGGCCCATAAACCACGCTGGAGAACAGAGCCCCTCCCGTGATGCCAGACGCCAAAGGCCTTCCTCTCTGTGTCGTGCTCCGCGTCGCCGACCTGGCCAGGGTGTTCTGGGGGAAGGGATGTCATTCACCAGCCTGAGAAGGTGGCGGAGGCTGGCCCCATCCCAGCTCTGGCAGAATCCGATTTTCCCCAAGAGCGACTTCACCCTTCCGTGTGCTGTACCAAAGTCCCCTAAGCATCCGCTCTGTTGTGGTTCGGATCAAGCCCAGAACCGCTTTCCAAAGCCATGTGGCAAGAGTTTTTCAGTCATTTTCCGTTTATGGTGACCCCAGTCCTGCCCCCAGCTGTGCCACTGGCTTCCACCCCATCTGTCTTGTCATCCATCAAATAAATGCATATACAGGAGTATGCCAGGTCAGGTGTGAACTTTGTGCCAGGCATTGGGCTGGCATAGATAACTGGCTCTGCACAGTGTGTGTGTGTGTGTATGTGTGTACTCCATATGCCTAGGAACCTCTGGTCACCCGTTCTTTCTTTTCTTTCTTTCTCTCTTTCTTTCTTTTTTCTTTCTTCTCTCTTTTTTTCTTTTTTTCTCTCTTTCTTTCTTTTTCTTTTTTTCTCTTTCTTTCTTTCTCCTTTTTTTTTTTTTTAATATTTATGTATTAGAAAGGGGGGCGGGGAGAGAGTGCTGCCATCCCCTGGTTCACTCCCTAAATACCAGCAATTGGCCAGGGCTGGGCCAAGGCTGCAGCAAGGCTCTGGGAGCTCAATCCAGGTCTCCCATGGGTGCAGCAGGGACCCACTACTCGAGTTATTGCCTGCTGCCTCACAGAGTCTGCATTAGCAGGCAGCTGGGATTGGGAGCAGAGGCACTGATGCAGGATGCTGGCATCCCAACCGGCATCTTCCCCAGTGGGTCAAACGCCGGCTACTGTCACTTGTCCTCATTCACCAGGGGTGAGGACACTTAGCACAGTCAGCAGACTCTTGGCCGTGGGCTGGGTCCAGCCTGCCGCCTGCTTTCCCCGATGAACTTGGAGGGGGAGCACAGCCACACCCACTCATCCCCAGCCTGTCTCTGGCTGCTTTCTAGCTTCAATGCACACTCGGATATTTGCAACAGACACTGAAGGGCTCACAAGTATTTGCCACCCGGCCCTTGACCGAAGAAACCCTTCCCTTGCGGACCCGAACTGAAACGACGCGTTCATGCCTGTGGAATGTGGAGCGGGCTGGGCTGCCTTGCCGTGGACCTGCTGGGTGCTGCCTCTGCCTCAGGGGAGGATGGGCGGCTTGGAGCTGAGGTGGGGGCTCCCCAGCCCTGAGAGTGTGTGTGCTCACCAGCATCACGTCCCCACGCCGGTGTGTGCAGTGAGCTGAGGAGGCGCACACCGCGGCAGTGTTTATGAAGGTGCCGCATGTGCATTGTTCTTGAAGCTCCCCACGGCTGCCCAGGAAGCTGTTATTAGCGCCCATTTGTAGGTGAGAGAATCAAAGCTCCTGCAGTCCGAGAAGGTGACACAGCCCATAAAATGCACGGCCTGGCTCTGACCCCAGGCAGTGTGACTCCTGGTGCTGCTCTCAACTGCTGTGTCAGGCTGCCTGGGGCGTGCCTGCCTGGCCCGGGTCAGGAGGGAGATGCGAGAGCTTCTCGCTCCTGCTGTGGGCCTGGGACTCCTTGCTCTACCCGTAGGCCTCCCTCAAAAAAGTTGTGTGGGTGTCAGCTGTGTGTAGATCCCGCCGCCCGCTCTTCTTTTTTTTTATGTTTTTTTTTTTTTTTTGAAGGACAGTGAGAGAGAGAGACAGAGAGAAGGTCTTCTTTGGCCGTTGGTTCACCCTCCATGGCTGCGCGGCTGGCACACTGCGGCCGGCGCACACACTGATCCGATGGCAGGAGCCAGGTGCTTCTCCTGGTCTCCATGGGTTGCAGGGCCCAAGCACTTGGGCCATCCTCCACTGCCTTCCCGGGCCACAGCAGAGATCTGGCCTGGAAGAGGGGCAACCGGGACAGAATCCGGCGCCTCGACCGGGACTAGAACCCGGTGTGCTGGCGCCGCAAGGCGGAGGATTAGCCTAGTGAGCCGAGGTGCCAGCAGATCTCTGCTTTTGAACTTTGTAGGGCTGGGCCGGATCCCAGAACCCGTGGGTGTTGCTTTGCAAAACGAAGGGGCAGACCCTTTGGTGTAAGCCTAAGGATGTTTAAAGGAGGACATATCTGCTACCTTTGCCATTTTAAATCAATAAACTTTATTTCAAGAGCAGTTTAGGTTTGCAGCAAATTGAGTCAGCATGGCATAGTGTTCCCACACAGACACAAGGCTCTGCCCTGCCCCCCACGGGCGGCTGGTGTCCAAGTGGCAAGATTACTAACAGCTGGCGACCTCCAGCGGCAGTTGACATTGGGGGTCACTCGTGGAGTTGGGCGGTTGACACATGTGTGGCAACATAGATCCCTTATAGCACTGCCTGCTCTGTGTCCCACCAACCCACCCCTCCTTTCCCTAAACCTCCGTCACCACTGATCTTACTGTCTCCACGGTTTTGCCTGTTCCAGAAGATTACGCAGTGGAATCATACAGAACACAGCCTCTTGGGATGGGCTTCTTCCACTTAGTAACAGGCACTCCACTTTCCTTCCTGGGATGTTCATGGCTTGGGCTCTACAGCTAATTTCCTTTATTTTATTGTATTATTATTATTATTTTTTTAAATGTTAGTTGAAAGGCTGAGTGACACAGAAAGAGGGAAAGAAAACTTCCACCTGCTGGCTCACTTTCCAAATGGCTGAAACAGCCAGGACTGGGCCAAGCTGAAGCCAAGAGCCTGAAACTACATCCAGGTCTCCCACGGGGGTGACAGGGGCCCGAACACTTGGCCACTTGCTGCTGCTTTCTCAGGCACATTAGCAGGGAGCAAGATCAGAAGTGGAGCAGCTGGGACTTGAACTAGGGCTCCGATATGGGATACCAGCATCCTAAGTGGTGGCTTAACCCACTGTGCCACAACACTGACCCCAATAATTCACTTCTTTTTAGCACTGAATAATATTCCATTGTCTGGGTGAATTGCAGTTCATTGATCCAATCATCTTCTTATGGTAATTTTGGCTACTACTTCTGAGTTTTAACATTTGTGAGTAAATTGCAGGAAATATCTGTGTGTGGCTTTTTGTGTGGACATAGAGCATGGTTGCTAGATCGCACGGTAGGATTAAATGGTGGGTTAAGCCTCCAGTTCTCAGCTCCAGGCTTGGCAGAAGGAGGAGAGAACCCTGGCTCCACACTCAAACACCGGATGGGACGGCCCCAGGGTGAGCATCCGCGGGGGCATGGGCAGGCAGAGGCGCTGCCTCTGGTTTTGGGTGCTGGCTCAGCACAGCAGTCAGTCCCCTGCCTGGTCAGCAGTGACAGCATCCCCACCGGGCTTTGGCCAGTGTGTCCCGGGAGGCTGGGCCAGCCCAGCTTGGAGTGACGATGGAGTTGGGACTGAGTCAGTGTGGCCCGGGGCACTCAGAGGCTGACTCGGCATCTCTGACCACCCCAGTGAGCTCGTGTGTGGCCCCAGTCTTGTCACTGCTCCTGGACTGTGCCAGAGCCTCTTGCCTTTGAGTCTCTGCCCAGGTGGCTTTGTTCTTGTAGACCCCCCACCTCCCACCCCTGCCCCCGGCCAGCGCAAGTGCTCCATCTTCTTGAGCCGGTCCTCCACCTCCCACTAGAGAGCTTCCCTCCTGCAGCGGCTGAGCCCTTTCTGCCCTTAACAGTTGCCTGGGGGGGCTGTGGCCCCTGCTGAGCCCGCCTCCCACACACAAGTTCCTGTAGGGTGGCGACGGCATTCTTTTTTTTTTTTTTTTTTTTTGACAGGAAGAGTGGGCAGTGAGAGAGAGAGACAGAAAGGTCTTCCTTTTCCGTTGGTTCACCCCCCAGTGGCCGCTGTGGCTGGTGCGCTGTGGCTGGTGCACCGCGCTGATCCGAAGCCAGGAGCCAGGTGCTTCTCCTGGTCTCCCATGCGGGTGCAGGGCCCAAGGACTTGGGCCATCCTCCACTGCCCTCCCGGGCCACAGCAGAGAGCTGGACTGGAAGAGGAGCAACTAGGACAGAATCCGGCACCCCGACCGGGACTAGAACCCGGTGTGCCGGTGCTGCAGGCGGAGGATTAGCCTGTTGAGCTGTGGCGCTGGCCGATGGCACTCTTGGTACTGAACCCCGTGCTGCCCCCGACCCCCAGGGTGGGAAGTCTCCCACAAGGGCCCTCAGGTGGTGCTGGGCTCCAGGGGGCTGCAGCTGCAGTTCCCATGTATTGGGGTGGGAGCTGGTGCACGGTGGATCTCACTCTGCTGGGTTGCCCCTTGCAGTAGCTGGGGCTTCCTCCCTTGCTGGGCATGGCATGCATCTGTGGGGCAGACAAGGGGCCTTTGAGAAAAGGGGAAAACACAGCATCGGGGTCCAGGCTCCTCCCGGGGGTTCCGAGGCTGCCAGAAGCTAGAAGGGGTGAGAGGTAGAGTCTGGAGTGGGCAATTGACCCAGGGGTGCTCTTTAAGGGTGGAGTTTCAGCCACAGTGATAAGATTTCAAAATTTTATTTTATTTGAGAAAGAGGAGAGATCTTCTATCTGTTGGTTAACTCTCCAAATGCCCACAACACACACCAGCCTGGGGCTGTGCCGGGCCAAAGCCACCAACCTGGAACTCCATCTGGGTCTCCCATGTGGGCGGCAGGGACCCGAGTCCGTGAGCCTTCACCTGCCTCCTCGCAGAAAGCTGGTGCAGAAGCAGAGGAGCTGGGACCCTAGCAGGCACTCTGACCTGGGATGCAGCCATCGTAGGCAGTGACCCAAGGGCTGCGTGCACGCCTGCCCTGAAACCTCAGATTGTGAGGAGGAGCTTCGGGACCCCTGATTTAGACGGCAAAGCGGCCTCCTAATTTACCTACGCTGGAAAGCGTGTTCTGTCCCTGACTGGCCATAGGTCCTACTCTCCCCTGGCCTGGAAGCCTGGGCCAGCTCCCCTGGCAGAGTGCAGGGACAAGGGATGGAGGGGCTGGCTTCCTGGGGGAAGTCCCTGCTGCATCCGCCACCAGCACCGTCCCATCATCACAGACTTCCTGCTCCAGCCGTGTCCCGTCTCGCCCGCATCTTGCCGGAAGGAGCAGTGGTGTGGCTCCCGAGCGAAGCCAAAGCAGGGAGGGCAGCCCCAGTTTCGTGCCACCCTCTTCGTAGCAGCAGCCTGGGCCAGGAGGGAGGGCACAGAGGCTTTCTACAAAGCTCTGTCTTGGGAAAAGGTGTCCAGGGCGGTTGCTAGGAGAATAAATTGATCTGACACAACCAATAAGCGTGAACATCTGTTACTGTCTGAGTTTGTTCTGTGCCCCGGGCCTCGTTCTAGCCCCTTCTGTTTGCTGTCCTATTTCAGCCCCATAGTAACCTTGCGAGGTGGGGTTATTAAGCGTATTTCACGGTTGAGGACACTAAACTTCGGGAAATGACTTGCCCAGGGGTATAGCTAGACAGGAAGGTACAAGGCTGCTGGACACTAAGGCCCATGAGGCACAGTGCTCCCTGGGGGACTTCCTCTGTCTCTGCAGGACCTGATTCCAGGGACTGGCTGTGAGGGACAAGTGCCAAACCTCAGAGTGGATGCCGAGGGGGTCTTCCCTCACCAGGGTTCAGAGCAGAGCACCAGGCGGCTCAGTAAGCCCTCCGTCCTCTCTGACCTCTTTGAGGAGTAGGTCTTATAGTGCCCATTTCCCAGCTGGGGAAACTGAGGCCTGAGCATCAGCTACAAGACAGAAGGTGAGGGACCTGGACCATGGCACTTGTTGCCTGTCCTGTCTCTTCTCTGGCTGGGGTGAGGCTGTGCTGTGGGAGGGAGGTGAGTCACACAGGACACCGGTGGGAGGTGCCGCAGCTGAGGCTGTGGGCGTGGCCCGCCTGGCGCCAAGGGCAGGTGGCTCAGCCAGTTCTGCCTGACGCCTCATTCCAGCCATCCCTCTGCCTGCGATGAGAGCCTCCTGGCATCTCTGCCACCGTCCTGCTGGGGGTCTTTGGGCCCCAGACATGAGATGATCTGAGTGAGGGCTCGCACAGACACCCGGACCCCTCCAGGTGAGTCCTCACTGCTCACGGCAGCCGGGGATCTCCCCAGGGAGCCCAGAGCGTGGGCAGCAGCATCTGCCCTGTGGCCTTCCCTCGGGGGGAGCCTTGGGAAGCAGCTTGGGCCTCCAGCAGGGGAAGCAAAGCCATGAACTCTTGGCTGTAGGGACTGTGTGGGGATCCAAGTTCTGGTGGGTCCAGCAACCCTCTCCTGAGGTTTGGGGACCCAGGAGAGAGAGAAGGTTTTGAAGCCGCTGTGCCGCACAGGTGAGGCTCCTGTCTCTCTCAGCAGGTCCAGGGATGCTCACGGGCAAGAATGTGATTGGTGGGAGTTCAGGACGGGACAGAGTGGCTCCGGAGCTGGAGCGGGATGAGCCCCAGGCATCTCACAGGTGCCGAGCCAGAAGCCATAGTGTAGCCCAGTGGCCCGAGGGCCTGGCCTGTCTCCCACAAAGGCCACTGCAATAAGTCTTGGGGCTGGGGAGGTGCAGCATCTGACTTCCCCAGAGAGGCGGCTCGATCCCAGAGAGAGGGAGGGCAGGGCAGCGAGAGCCCAGCAGGTGAGCACGCAGTTTGTGGAGTGACTCAGGGAGCTACTTGCAGCTGCTGTAGCCCCAGTCCCAGGCTGCTCTGGGCCTCTGCTGCCCTAGCTGCCTACCCTCATAAGCCCCAGGCGGGAGGATGCAGCCCCCAGCTGCCAAGGGTTAGGGCCCCGGGGCTGCTGCATTATGACCAGAGGCCTGGGCAGGGACGGGGCGAGCCTCCATCTCTCTGCTTCCCCATTGGCCCAGCCCAGCCTTCCAGCCCATCTGTCTACAGGTCCCCTTGGGCTGGGGAAGGCAGCCAAGGTCACCCTGTCCTCATCAGGCTGTGACAGGTCCCCAGAGGCCCCTATGCAAAGCTCCCTGCTTGAAGGTGCTCACATCCAGAGCCAGACCTCTCTGTCCTAGGGGTAACTTCCTCTCTCTCAAGCCTGCTCACTTCTGTGGGGGAGGCTCCAACTTCCAAACTCCACTCCAGCCTGATGACACTTCCTGCAGGAAGTCTTCCTATGTGGGGCATCCCCCACCTTCCTAGAGAAATCCCCTCTCCCTTCCCCAATGTCTCTGAGTCCCTGAGGATGACTCAAACTGAGATTGGCCCTTCGTTAACCGCGGAGTCACCTCCTGTCCACACAACGCTTTCGCTGTCCATCTCATCCTCTATGGCCAGCCTGTCCCCTTCCCCATCCCAATGGCCCCTGGCTGCTGGTCACCTCCTGGACTCCACACAATCGGCTGATCCTTAGGTAGCCCCTCCCTCATCCCCACTCCGAGCTGCCCGGGATCAGCCACAGCCCCTAAGTGATGTCTGAAGCCGAACCAGTGCTTCCAGGGCTGTGCGTGAGCCCCCAGGCTCTCAGCCACACCAGCTCCTGCTGAACTTGCATGGCCCCTGGTCTCTGCCTGGGCTGTCCCCTCTGCCCAGATCACCTTCTCTCCACGCGGCCTCTAGGGTCAGCCACAGAGACCGCCTGGGTGCCGAGAACTCCCAAACCTCAGAGCAGCCCGGGGCTGTGTCACAAGGAGCATCCAGAGGGAGGAAGGCGACAGTCCTGCTCGGTCAAGGTCTACCACCTTTGAGAATCGCTCTGAACACAAAATCTATGAAGTGTGCTGAGAAAGCAGGGCTGGTTCTCAGGGTCTGCTTGCATACTGGTGGGGCTGGAGACAGTGTCCTAGGGGCACGGTGGTCTCTGCTGGGCTCACCTGGGAACACAGGAGCAAGGGAAGCTGCAGGGACAGTCTCCCTGCTCTTGAGAAGGGTTGGTGACCTGGGAAGGTGGGGAGCGGGCTCCCCATCTAAAGTGGTTGTGAACAGAGGCTGAAGAGTGCCACACAGACCTCTGATGGTCCCTGAAGCTCCTCCATGCCCTGCACCTGAACTTCTGCCTTGTGACTGTGTTCCAGCCATGAACGTCCTCCCGAAGGATATGGTGCCACTCATGGGCAGGAGAGCCACCATTGCCGGCGGGAACCCTGCCGTCCTGTTGGAGAAGAGGCCAGCCGAGGTCACCCCCACCAAGAAGAGGTAGGCCTGGCGGGCTGAGACCTGGGCTCTGCACAGTGAGAGGCACGGGAGGGGCCAAGTGCCCACCCCAGACAGCCCCAGCTGCTGGTGGACCCTAGACTCTGTCTCATCTCAGGTGGCGCCAGTCAGGTAGAACTGGGCCATGGTGGGGGCCGAGCTGGGGAGATCATATGATGGGCACAATTGGAGAGTTCTCCTTGGAGGGGTTGGGGCCCTGATGCAGGAATATCCAAGAAGGCTCCTGCAGGAGGTGGCGAATGGCCAGAGCCACTCTTGAGACCAAGGCCGAAAAGTGAGTGGACATTCCAGCAGCGGGGTATGCTCTCTGCACACCCTGATGGCTTCCACCCACGGTGCACCTGGCCAGGTTGCTCAAGCTCTCTGACCCCACCTGTGTGCAAAGGGGTTGCCATCAACGACGCCAGCTAACAGGGTGATGGTTCACTGGGATCATTTTGACGAGGTGCCCAACACAGTGCCTGGCACATGGTGGTATTGATGGCATTTTCCTTATGTTTACCATCTTCGTTGTCAACATTACTCCACTGCGCCATGGGGGTTGGACAGGGCTGGGCTGGTCTGCTCTTCTTCCCACTGGGGCCGTGGAAGAGGCTGGGAGCTCAGAAAGGACTTCTCCAGGGTTGCATCTCGCTGCCCCTGAGCTGCCCACCCCACAGCTATGCTTCCCTTGGGGTAGGTCCGCCCATTTGCCCTGCTGCCTCTGCCCCCTCCCAGGCCTCCTCTGCGGCCAGAGGTGGGTTTGGTTCTGTCCTTTGGTCTGTTGGTTTTGAGCCATCATCACCAAGGAGTCCTGTGGACCAGGCCCGGGGCTGGACTGGGAGAGAGACTGGGATTCAGGGAGGAAGAGTGCCCACCCCACTCACAGGCAAGTGGGAGGGGCACCAGAGGAATGTGGGAAGGCCTGGAGAGGGGCTGAAGGGTCAGGCCGGTCATTCTGATCCTGTGGGCAGTCTTGGGCGCTTCGTGGAGGAGGTGTTACTAAAGCGGATGTTGGTAGGTGGCAAGGAAGGGAAAGGGCACGCCAGGCAGCAGGACATGGAGACAGAGGCTCGGGGCCGGGACCGAGGCACTGAGGGGTGAGAAGAGGCTTGGGGGCGGTCAGTGCTGCTGGGTGGGCCTCAGGGGTCAGGCATAGAACCTGCACAGTCTCCAGGGCGGTGGGCAGCCACAGACAGGTGTTTGCAGGGAGGGGCTTTGTGAGGTTTGCATGAAAGCTGTGGAGGGAAGGCTGGGGCAAGGAGGCAAAGGATGAGCCCCCAGGGATAGGCTGGCTGGTTTGTCAGATGTAAGCTTGGTGCTGTTCTTCTGTCTGTTATTTTGAGTCATCCTCACAGAGGCGAACCATGTACCAGGCCCGGGGCTGGGCCCAGGATCCAGAGATTGGGCTTAAATACCACTCCCTGGAGGGCTGTTGGGGCGGCCAGGTGACAGGTGAGCCTGGGGAGTCAGTGATGGAGAGGAAGGGACAGAGCAGAGAGGTTTTTGCACCATGGGGAGGGGAGGGAGGAGGAATAAGAGCCAAAAGACAGCCCTTTCTTCTGGTGGGGAGCCCCTCTGCCCTGGGCCCATCAGAGAAGGGGCAAGGTCAGGAGAAACGAGCCACGCTCGGGTGGGAAATGTGGGCAGGAGGAGCCAGTGGATGCTCCAGCCTGGACTGTGAGGGACCAGACTGGGGGGAGGTACAGAGGAGACAGGGCCTGTGGGGTGGCCGGGCTGTGGGTGGACATTGGGTGGAAGCAGAGACATCTCTGAGCACAGCCAGCCAGGGCCACCCTCCCGCGCTCGTCTCACTCTCCCCGGGGCGTCTGGACCTGGGGGAGGACGGAGGACAGGTTTCAGGACAGCCCGACCGGTTGAGCTGCCTGTGCCGAGCACGTCCCTGTGCGTGAACTCACCTCCTGGCTCAGCGCTGCCAAAGCCTGGGCCCAGCCTTTTGTCTCCGGAAGTGGTGGCTGCTCCTCCTCCCCAGAGTCTCTCTGAGGGCCCGCACGTGCCTGCGTCTCCCTGGATCCTGGAGTCGGGACGCCGTCCCCAGAACTGAGTGGGGCACTGTGTGTAGAGAGGAAAAGAAAGGAAAAGGTTACATGTAAAGAAAGAGGGCCAGGCGCCACCCCCCCCCCCGCCCCCAGGAGACATGGCCTCAGGGTGGGATTGAAGACACCAGGGGGTCTGGAGTGGGGACAGACCTGGGGACCTGAGCCACCATGCCCTGCCCCGCGCATGGCAGCCACCATGGCCTCCTTACAGGGCCCTGGGCGAGGCGGGGCCCAGTGTCCGGGCCAGAGGGCGGTGGGGCTGGGGAGGAGCTGGCCTGGTGAGTTCGGAGGACACCGAACATTTCCTGGAACAGAGCAGGCAGTATACAGGCCCCGTCCCAGTCTTGGGGCTGCTCCAGGAGCGTTCTTTGACTTCAGAGGGGACAGAAAATCCAGGAGAAATGGTGTAGCGCTGCCCGCGCACCTGAGTTAATAACACCCAGATGGGGCCCTTTGGTCTGGGCCAAAGGTAGGACTGAACATTCAGCACCTGCCGAGGACAGGTGCTCAGGTGTCTGGAGGCCAAGGCCTCGTTGAGTGCTTATCATGGTAGGCAGGATGCCAGGGGAGCGTGGGGCAGGCGTGGGACGGGGCCTCACGGTCCAGCGGCCACCCAGGCCCAGCCACTGGCCTCTCCGCGTGCAGCCCGGCTTCTGTCACCCTCCTCCTCGCATCCCGTGCTCCGGGGCTTGCTTCTTCAGGCTCTGCCCTCACCTGCCTTCCCCCGGGGGCGTTTCTTATGCTTCTCTCTGAGCCTCCGCAGCAGACCACCAGACTGCTCCAAGTCCCAGAGCACACAGCCCCCGCTGCAGCTCAGAGCCTTCCCCGGGCTCTGTCCTCTCTAAAGAGGTTACCCTGGAAGTCGGGACAATGTCTTAGCTCTGGCTGAGATGTCTGGAGTGGGGTCCCCAGAAGGGGCATCTTCCCCCTCCAAATCCCCGGGGAAAGTGGCTTCAGAAGGGATGGGGGCTTGGCCTCCTTGTGCACCGTGATATTCCCCAACCCAGGAACAATGCCCGGAATGTTGTTCCGGCTCCGTATTTGCCAATGAATGGGACGCCTGACCCAGAGATGGAGAGTGAACCCCTGAGCCACACAGGAGGCAGAGGCGGAGTGGGGCCAGGCTTTGGCTTCTCAGTCAAGGGCTTTCGTCTCCTGTCTTCTCCTTTGGAGGGAAGGTTTTATTTCAGGTCAAGCAAGGAGGTTCCTCTTGATGGTGGGAGACAGGAGGGTGGAGGCCTCGTGTCAGCCAGTACTGCCCTCTCCCTTCAGGGGTCAGCTCTGAGCCCTCCCAGCCTGTGTGGGCCTGGAGGAGTGCGGAGGGATTCCCAGGCGGCCCCTGCTCTCTCTGCTGCCTGCCCCTCCCCGGGAAGTGGCCGTACCGGGCAGCCTCCCTGCACGGCAAACTCTTGGAGTTTGCTGGCCCAGAGGTGAGAGCAGAGCTGTGTGGGTTGTGCTGTGAGCCGAGAGTCTGGGCAGCAGGAATCGGATTCCTGGATCAGCCCGGAGAAGTCACAGGAGAGCTGCGAATGAGTCAGCTGCTTGGTTCCTTCAACCAAAACGCCGACGAGCAAGCTTCTTGGGATGGCGCAGGTCCATGGCTGCGCTTGGTTTGGAGGTTCAGCAGCCCCACTGGCTTGGCAGATGAGGAGGAAGGATCCCACGATGAGCCAGGAAGCAGAGACAGAAGCTATGCTGACTCGGCTTCAGTAACCGCCCCTCTTGTGAGAGCCACCTTCTCAGGGCACCCCCCCCCGCCCCATCCTGTGACTTAAAGACCCCGCCGGGCCCACCTCGCGGCCACCACGCTGACCCACCAGCCCTCTGCTTTAGGTCTGCGGAGTCTGAGCATCCATGTGAGTCTAGGAGCCATGTCTTTCTCCCTGCTGAGCCCCAGGACTCTCATCTGGAAGGGCACCACAGTCCTTCCCTGAGGCCCGCGTGTTGGGCTTGAGGTGTCTGGGCCTGCTCTTCTGGGGTCTTGTGGGAGCAGCGAGGGGGGCACGTGAGTCCTTCCAGGCCCAGGAAGGAAGCAGGTGGCAAAGTTGCCTGGGAGCCCCTGCACACCTGGAGGAGGCCCCGGCCGGGCCACGGAGCCACCAGTGGGGCTGCAGCAGCTGCAGGGCAGGGGTGTGTGGCGGAGGGCGCCCTCACCTCGGAGCGTGGCGTGACTGTGGCTTCCAGGGCTCGTGTGTCTGCATTTGTGGGTGCCTCTAGCCGGGAATCGCGGCTTGTGGGTGTGTTTCGGCTCCCTGGGACAGCGAGGGTCTGCTTTCCTAGGGGCCCTGGGCCTCTGTCTTCACCTGGCCCAAGGAGAGAGCAGATCCTTGTCCCCCTTTCTGCCTCCCACTGCCTGAAGTGGTTTCCTGGGTTTTCCTCTGGATGCGGGGTTCTCAGCTGTGTCCTCCCTGTTCTTAGCCTCTTCTGTTTGCTATCAGAGGGGCAGAGGGCAGAGGGCAGCGGGCAGAGCAGGGTCACTCTGGCCCTTCCCCTCCTGCTCAGGAGCCAGGAAGGGCCTCGCAGATCTCGGGGTCCAGCTACCTCCTCGGGAAAGGGCTCTCCCTTCAGATCTGACGCCCGAGGGGCAGCTGGGTGGCTCCGAGGGGAATCTCACTTCTAGGCTGGTGTTCCCCATCATGGATAAGGCCTTTCCATCCAGATACAGCCACAGACAGGGCTGTCCGTCTTAGGCCACCCCCAGTAGAGACCCTTGGGTTCAAAGGACAGGAGTCACCCAGACCCAGCCGAGACTCCAGCACTGCCACCTCCCTGCTCAGTGACCTGGGGCAGGTTGCTCCTCTACTGCCGCCCTCCCCCAGCCTCCCAGTGCCCAGGCAAAGCAGGCCCCCAGGCACTGCTCAGTGGAGGAGAGGGGGAAGAGGGTGTGCCCTCCACAGCAGGGCTGTAGGACACACAGGCGGCCGAGTCCTGCCCAGCTCTCACGGCCTTCCTTGGTGTCTCCCCAGTGCACACTTCTTCCTGGAGATAGAAGGGTTTGAGTCCAACCCCACTGTGACCAAGACCTCGCCGCCCATCTTCTCCAAGCCCATGGACTCCAACATCCGGCCATGGTGAGTGTCAGTCCTGGCTCCGGAGTGCACGCAGTGACCCGCTCCTGCGGTGTGTCACCAGGGTCCTTTTACAACCCTGGCCTTCTCTCCCCTCCCCCACACCCCTAGCGTCTCGGGCAACTGTGATGACATGGACTCCCCCCAGTCCCCTCAGGATGACGTGACAGAGACCCCATCCAATCCTAACAGTCCCAGGTGAGTCTGGCCCTGCCCCTCCTCCCACGGCACCTTCCCAGGGGCAGGTGTCAGGCTCAAGGGCCCTGCAGGAAGGAGAAAGTCACCACGATCCCCAGGGGGTTGGGACAAGGGTCTGGATGCCTGGGCTCCTGGCTGTGGTGTGCAGGACTGTTTTGGAGGGGAAGTGGAGTCTCCAATGTTATACGGTGTACAATAATACCCACTGATGGGTACAGCAAGTGTGGTGTGCATATAAAATTCAGTACTACTCAGCTTTCAAAACAGGTTGGAAACTGCTATCAGTGACGACATGGAGGAGCCTAGAGGATGTGATGTGAGCACAACAAGCCAGGCTCTCACTCACAGGTGCAGTGAGAGAAAGTTCATCCCACAGGAGCGGAGACTGGAACAGCGCTTACGGAGGGCAGGAAGGGAAGGGCTGGGGCCCAGGAGACGCTGGTCTGAGGGCGCAGTGCTGGATGGGGGTGGGGGAGGAGCCAGGTCTGCAGCCCTCTGCACGGCGGGGCGGCAGCAGTTCACGATCGTGTATGGTGTACCTCAGAGTAGCTACAGGAGACGGTTTTGATGTGCTCATCACAAAGAAATGATAAACGTTTGGGGCGATGGCTATGCTAATTGCTCTAATTCGGTTATTATGCACTTTTGCCCCTGTATCCAAACATCACGTTGTACTCCATTAATGTGTACAATTATGTGCCCATGAAGAATAAATACAGTATGGGCATTTGGCGTAGGGGTTAAGACATCCCTTGGGATACCTGCACCCCTTATTGAGTACCTGAGTTGGAGTCCTGCTAATGAGCACCCTGGGAGGCAGCAGGTGATGGTGCAAGTACTTGGTTTCTGCTGCCCACATAGGAGAACTGCATTCAGTTTCTGGCACCAGTTTTGGCTTGCTCCGCAGCTGGCTGTTCTGGGAACTTGGCGGGAGTGAGCCAGCATGTGGAAGACATCTGTCTCTCTGCCTTTCAATTTAAATAAATAGATAAAGTAGAATAAAATAAAGCAATACCCTTCATTCATTACAAAACATTCAAACAACAGCAATACAAGGGAGTGAGAGCTTTAGCATCAGACCATTTTGTCAATTAAAAATTCATGCACACACAACATCAAGATAGATTTTGCCAGAATGCATGCAGACAAAAGATTAGGTGTCAGTGCAGGACCAGGTTTACTTTTTTGATTAGCATAATTCAAACAACACAAAACACACAAGAGAAATTTCCCTTCTATTTCCTTTTTTTTTTTTAAAGATTTATTTATTTACTTGAAAATCAGAGTTACACATAGAGAAGGAAAGACAGAGAGAGAGAGAGGTCTTCCATCCGCAGATTCACTCCCCAGTTGGCCGCAACAGCCAGAGCTGTGCCGATCCAAAGCCAGGAGCCAGGAGCTTCTTCCAGGTCTCCCACATGGGTGCAGGGGCCCAAGGACTTGGGCCATCTTCTACTGCTTTCCCAGGCCATAGCAGAGAGCTGGATCGGAAGTGGAGCAGCCAGGTCTTGAACCGGCACCCATACGGGATGCCGGTGCTTTAGGCCAGAGCGTTAACCCACTGTGCCACAGCGCCAGCCCCTCTATTTCCTTTTGAGGCAATGAAGACCTGGTGAGAGCGTTCTTGATCATTTCTATGTGTATCCAAATATATGTGTTTTGATAAAATGAGAAGGGAGCTTGGGGGAGCGCTGGGGCACTAAGGTGGGGCTGGCGGGCATTGCCACAGATGTTGGGGGGCTGGTGCAGAGAGCAGAGGCTGGGGTGCACTCCCGGTGAGATGGAAACATTGTCTGGTCTCAGTGCAAACCTGGCCAAGGAAGAAAAGAGGCGGCGGAAGCATCGGCTGAAGAAGCGCATCTTCACGGCCGTGTCTGAGGGCTGCGTGCAGGAGCTGGTGGGGCTGCTACTGGAGCTGCAGGAGCTGTGCAGGCGCCACCGCGGCCTGGACGTGTCTGGTGAGCCCCGGGCTGCAGGGCGTGCGAGGCTGGGGGCCCTGCTCACCTCCTGCTGCCCTGTTCTCACTCCGTCTGTTTGTGGGGCTGGAGTGTGCGGGGCCTGGAATGCTGTGCCAGGGGCCTTTGATCGGGACTCTGAGGGCAGTGGGGAGCTATGGAAGAGACTAGACAGGCGAGGAGCCTTGGTGACAGTGGTCCCAGGAGGATGGGGTTATAGTGGAGAAGGCTGCTGTTCTGGCAGAGTTAGGACCCCAAAGCAGAGCTGGGGGAGGGGCAGGCTCTGGAGAGTTCTTCAGGCAGCGGCATCGACAGAACCGGGGGCTGTGGGAAGACAGGGAGAAGGGGGGCCTTTGGATTAGGGTAGGTTGGTGGGTGGCTGGAGACTTAGCTGTCCAAGGATTAGAGAGCGGGAGCTTAAGGAAGATGACTCCATTTGAAGGCCACAGGAGGGGCTGGCTGGAGACGGGGCCTTCAGGGTAGCAGCACCCAGGTGGGCAGTGGGAAGCCACACAGAGGCTGCCCCCACCAACACACACACCGAGGGAAAGGTGCAGGGGACGTGGCTCTCCTGGAGGGCAAGGAGCCGGCCAAGAGGGAGGAGGAGAGCTGGGGAGCGGGGCTGGGGAGGCAGCAGGGGCGGGGCCGTGCTGTGGCTCCATCCTGCCCCGCTGCCCACAGACTTCCTCATGCACAAGCTGACCGCCTCGGACACGGGCAAGACCTGCCTGATGAAGGCCCTGCTGAACATCAACCCCAGAACCAAGGAGATTGTGCGGATCCTGCTCACCTTCGCCGAGGAGAACGGCATCCTGGACAGGTTTATCAATGCCGAGTACACGGAGGAGGCCTACGAAGGTACCCCGGCTGTGTGGGGCGGGGCTGTGCAAGCAGGCGACTCCCTGGGGGGAGGGTGGGGGGCCGCCTGGTCACTGCTGGCCGTGACCCGAGAAACTGGTGCTGGGCACGCGGCGGGCACTCTCCTCCACTTCCCTCGTTCCGCATGGAACTGCAGGCCCTGACTTGCGTGCAGCCACTCTGGTTGGCACCACGTGAGAAATCGAGGCCAGCTGTGCCAAAAAAGCAATTTTAGATGGGAAATGCCATGGAAAGAAGCGAAGACGATGTGACAGAAGGTCACGGGGGGTGGGGGGGGCGTGTGAGAGTGGACAGGCAGACAGGTTGGCCTTGGAGCTGAGGCCTGTGTGGAGAGAAGGATCCTGAGCAAGGCAAGGCCCTGGGCCCCGGGGGTGGGAAGGAGCCAGGCCCCTCTGAGCAGGGGAAATGGGGAGCGATGGGGGGCTGGACAACTGGGTGGGGCCCACGACAGGCAGCCATCAGCAGGCTTGTCATGACTCCCGGCCCCGTCTGGGGCTCTGTTTTGAGCCTGCTCCCTGTGGGGCCAGAGACAGGGTCGAGAGACCAAATCAGAGCCAGTGTTTGCCTGCCCAGGGCCTGCACTGCAAACACCCACCAAGGCCTGTCCTCAGCTGAGTTTTTAAGCGTCGACAAGGGCTGACTTTTCGCAAGGGCTTTTGTTATCAGAAAAAGCCAAGGATTGTGACAGAAGAGAAGTTATGGAGCAGAGGAGAGGAAACCCAGGGAAGACGGCCGCCTCTGTGTGCTGAACCGCAACCTGAGCTCCCTGGGAGCCAAAGCAAAGACAGAAACTGCTCTCGGCGTGTCACTACGGCGCTGACAGCGGTCCTGTAGCCAGGGAGGTTCAGGCCAGGGCCTGGGGGTTCTCCCTTTTCTGTCTCTGGCAGTGTCTCAGGGGCTTGCACCCTCCCTTGTTGCAGTCTGGTGCCCACAGCAGATTCCCTGGCAACGCTAGGGTTTCACATACAAGATGCTCACTGTAAATGTTTTGGTTGAATGAAGGTCACTGGTGTCTCCACTGAGGCTGGCCTCTGGCCCTCACCTCTCCTGTCTCAGCCTCCCCCTGTCTCTTCCTTCTCTCCCCAGTGGCCTCTTGCTGCTGAGCTGGCCTGGGGCTGGTGTGCCCACTGTGGGTGTGGGTGTGGGCGCCCCATTTGTGTCTGCTTTCCCCGGACCGCCCCGAGGAGTCTGCTGCCGCCACTCACCCCCAGGGTTCCCAGGCAGTGCTTGGGGTAGGGGGCTCCAGGCCCCTGCACTGAGCACCCTGTTCCTCCCCGCTGGTCCGCAGGTCAGACGGCGCTGAATATCGCCATTGAGCGGCGCCAGAGAGACATCGCGGCGCTCCTCATCGCTGCAGGCGCCGACGTCAACGCCCACGCCAAGGGGGTCTTCTTCAACCCCAAGTACCAGCACGAGGGCTTCTACTTCGGTGGGTGCGGTTCGGTCTGCGAGGAGGGAGGCGCCGCACAGCCCCGAGGCATCACTCCCCAGAGTCCAGACGGGGAGGGGGCTGGGGCTGATCCGTGCTAGCGGGACCCCGAGGGTGGACCACAGGCTGGGGAAGTGGCATGGTCTGCAGAGACCTGGGACTGGAACGGAGGAGATAGCCCCACTTCCCCGGTGAGGCCATGGTTCTGAGCAGATGGTGATAGGGTCTCCTGCCCTCTCGCCCTGCGCCTTGTGCCTCTCTGGGAGTCAAAAGCCAGGAGCAGAAAACCGCCAGGCAGACCGGTTCTGGGGTCCAGATGCAGTTATGGTTAGGATGCTCCCGGCAGGAAAAGAAATGGCAATGATTTAGGTGAGGCAGATTTCACCTGCTTTGCTTGTTTCTTAAAAAGGATTTATTAATTATTTATTAGGACAGCAAAGCGATGGAGGTGGGAGGAAACACAGGAGGGAGAGAGAGCAAGAAGAGAGAGAACGAGAGATAGAGGTGGAGAGAGAGAGAGAGAGAGAGAGAGAGAGAGAGAGAGAGATGTTTACACACACAGAGATATCTTCCAACTGCTGGTCCACTACCCAGGTGGCCACAGCAGCCAGGTCTAGGCCAGGCTGAAGCCAGGAGCCAGGAGCTTCATCTTGGTCTCCTACATGGGTGACAGGGACCCAAACAGTCGGGCCATCAACTGAAGCTGCCTCTCCAGGTGCGTTAGCAGGGAGCTGGACTGGAAGTGGAGCAGCTGCTCGGGTATGGGATGCTGGCATCGCAAGTGTTGGCCTGTACGCCACAGCCCCTTCTCTTTTCTTAACAACCATCTGTGGAGTCAGTTCTGGACTGTGTTAGAAAATGAGAGGTGCTACTAAAAAGATACAAAGTAAAACGAAAGCAGGGGAGTCAGGAATTTTGTCTGGGGTCAGTTTCTGTTTTAAATAGGCTGGTGAGGGGGACTCATTGAAATGTCAATGTTTGAGCAAAAATTTAAAGGAGGCGAGGGAGTGAGAGATGCAGAGGGAATAGCTTGGGTCAAATTCCCAGTGTGCTCAAGGGAGAGGGCGATGGTCCCTGTGGCTTGAGGGAGGTCAGTGAGGAGTGGTGGTAGTGGTGATGGTGGTGGGGAGATACAGAAGCTTGAGTTTTATTATGCATGAGGTGGAATTTGCATGTTCGCAGGGTCTGCCTGGCTGCTGAGCCGAGATCAGTGCTGGAGGGCCAGGCTGGAAGCCGGGAGATCAGTTAGGAAGCTCAGGCTTCCCGTGGCACAATGGGGAGATGGTCAAGAAGTAGGTGGGGCCTGGGGACGCTGCTTGTGGCCCAGGAGAGAAACAAGCCTCAGTGCTGCCCGCCCCTAGGTGAGACGCCCCTGGCCCTGGCGGCTTGCACCAACCAGCCCGAGATTGTGCAGCTGCTGATGGAGAACGAGCAGACAGACATCACCTCGCAGGACTCCCGGGGAAACAACATCCTGCACGCCCTGGTGACCGTGGCCGAGGACTTCAAGACGCAGAACGACTTCGTGAAGCACATGTACGACAGGATCCTGCTGCGGAGCGGCAGCTGGCAGCTGGAGACCATGCGCAACCACGACGGCCTCACGCCGCTGCAGCTGGCCGCCAAGATGGGCAAGGCCGAGGTGGGCACGGGGGCGGGGTGGGGGGTCTCGTCCCAGGGAAAGGGCAGGTGCAGTGGGGATTGGGGTGGGTTTGTTCTGAGCGACTGCACAGAGCCCGCCAGGCGCAGTCCACCTCCTTGGCCCGATTCTCCCTGTCCCTGTCTCTTGTCCTGGGAGTCCCTGGCTGCAGCCAGCCTGGGAGCATCTGGAGGCGCAGGTGACATTGTGTCTCACGTGTGTGCGCTGTGACCCAACATTCCTGTGTGGTGAGGCCCCCATGGGGAGGCTGGGCGTCTGACCCCCAGCTTCTCAGGGGGACAGGAATCCAGAGTGGCCACTCTGCTGTGTTCCCCAGCTGTGGAGAAGCTGTGAGTTGTGTCCCTAGCAGAAAGCAGCTGTCTGGGGCTGCAGGGGCCTCCTGTGCTATGGTTGGGGCTCTCCAGGGAGCCTCCAGGAAGACTGGGGCTGGCCCCGGGCTCAGATCTTGGTCATGGCTGGGGCGTGGCTTGATCTGAGATCAAGGTCGAGAACCAGGTTCTTCTTTTCAGAACACAGATCATGGGGTCATCCTACTCCGCAGTCCCTCTGTCTCCCAGCCCTTGGAGCAGACTGTGGCTCCTGGGAGGCTGTGGGAGGTGCAGGAGGATGATGACCATTGAGCAATTGTGCCAGCCTCAGGGCCCCGTCTCCAGGGTCAGCTGTCCTGAGGGCCGTGGGTCCTGTTCCAGTGATCAAGGCCAGGCCCCACAAAGGACCGCTTCATGCTCTTGTAGGGGGAGGAGGGGATGTAGAGGGCCTGCCACAGAGGGGACTTGTGTGCCTGCCTCCCCAAGCGCCTGCCTCCCCCGGGCTCACAGCTGGCTGGGAGCTTTGAGGCGAGCCAGAGTGTGGAATAGGTCAGTCGTCCTCCAAGGGCCTCTTCCCTGCATGCCGCTGTGGCACGTGCTGTCCCTGCCACCCCGGCCCAGGAGAGCCCCAGGCCCCCCTTGTTCTTCAGAGGACAATGTGCCCACCATGGCCCCTTCAGGGGAGGGGTGGGGGAGGCACCTGCACCCTTCTGGCCTTAGCTCTCTTGTGTTCAACATCATTTGGAAAACTTCTGGTTGCTGCCTCTGTGGCCGCTGTGCTGGGCGTGGAGGGCAGAGCAGTGCTAGAGACACAGATCCTGTCTTTGGGGCTGTTAGAGGCTGGGGAGCCGGGAAGAAGGCCGCTCTGCCCAGGCGGTGGAGGGAGGCTGTCATGTGACACCGGCTGGGAACCCCACTGGGCCGTGTGAGATCAGGACCCTGACACTGCCCTGTCCCACAGGTCCCTCGGCTTGGGTCTTGGGTTAGGGTCTCAGACAGCCCTGGTCCTCATCCCAGGGGGACCCAAGGCCCAGCTTTCAGGAAGGCGTGATGGGTGGAAGGATGGCTGGTTGGCTGGAGCCCCGTGGCACTCTCTGTTCAGCCTGCCCGGGCAGCTTTCTAGATCAGATTCTTGGGTCCCACCCTAGAGGTTTGGAGCTCCTTTGTTGGTAATGAGAGATTTCAAGAGAACCCCTGCTGACCCCATCAGGCAGCCAGTTTGAGGATTCTGGCCTGAACGTGGGTCATGCAGGCCTCTGTCCGTGCAGGCCGGGCTGCTGCAGCGTCACCTGTCTGGCCGGCATGCAGAGCCCCGGCTGGGGAGAGCTTGACTGACGGTGGGATGGCTTCTTCCCAAGGGCAGGCCCAAGAGCGATTGTTCCTAAAAATGGCCAATTGCGGAATCTGTCCCTTACCTGGGGCCCCCGCTGGAGTGCCCTTTCCCGTGGCGTGTGAAGGGGCCTCACTCGCTCTGAATCCAAGATCCACAGTCCCCACTGGGATGGACGGAGCCATTGGCTTTGGGCCCATTCCACGGACAAAGCCGGGGCCCCGGGGGAGGCGGCAGCCGGTGCAGAGGTGGGACTGAAACCGTCCTCGGTGGGCCCTCTTCCCCGGCAGCCCTGTTCTGCGCTGATGTTCCCCTCGTCCCGCCCCCAGATCCTGAAGTACATCCTGGGCCGCGAGATCAAGGAGAAGCCGCTCCGGGGCCTGTCCCGGAAGTTCACCGACTGGGCCTACGGGCCGGTGTCCTCCTCGCTCTATGACCTCACCAATGTGGACACCACGACGGACAACTCCGTGCTGGAAATCATTGTCTACAACACGAACATCGATGTGGGTCTCCGGCACAGGCTGGGGAAGGGGGGAAGCGAGGGCTGGACCCCAGGCCAGGGGTCAGAAGGTGTGGGGAAGACCCCCGGCTGCTAGCTTTATGACAGCTCTCGTCTCCCAGTCCTTGGCCTCGGTGGCCAGAGCTGGGCACAGGAAGGGTGGGGCCCAGGGCAGATGCCGGGCTCAGGAGTTCCTGGTTGATCTTGGATTGTAGACCCCAGTAGTGGGGGTTTCCTGGGCAGTCTCCCTGTGGGGTGGATGAGAAGGGGCTTCCTTGTCATTCTGGCCTAGGATCTTCTCTTCTTCCAAATCTGCTTCCAAGTGAGGGTCAGGGAGTACACAGCTGGAGCAATCAGGAGGCCTTCCCGGAGGAGGCTAGAGAGGGGAAGTCAGCGTAGCTGGAGGCGAGGAGGGAGGAGGGAGGAGCAACTCTTAGGGTGAAGTGGAGCAGCAGGTTGGGCCTGTGTGCTTTCTGTGTGCTTTGTATTTGACCAAGAATCGGGGTTCCCAGAGCCAACCTTGTGCAGGCTCTCCTGGCAGCCTTATTGGTGGGGTGGGCACTGTCCTCAGTATTATAGATGAGGAGACAGGCCCGAGAGGCTCAGGGGCTGCAGCCTCAGCCGCCACTGCGTCTCGCTGGGCCCCTCCTGTGTCACCTCCGCCTGCTGGCAGCCACTGGCTCCGTGGCATCGGGGAAGGAGCCTCAGGAGCCGGGACTCACCCTCCCAGCCTTTCCAGACAAACCAGTTCCTGCTGGATGGCGCTGCCATGGAGCTGCTCCTGCAGTTCCCCTTGGGGACGGCCCCTGGCTGTCTGCCTCACGCCTGCCCGTGGTGACAGTGGCTTCTACCCCCAGAACCGGCACGAGATGCTGACCCTGGAGCCCCTGCACACGCTGCTGCATATGAAGTGGAAGAAGTTCGCCAAGTACATGTTCTTCCTCTCCTTCTGCTTCTATTTCTTCTACAACATCACCCTGACCCTCGTGTCTTACTACCGTCCCCGGGAGGAGGAGGTGCGTGGGTCTGCGGCGGCGGGGAGGAGGGGGAGTGCTCAGAGCCAGAGGAGCTTAGAACCGCCCTCGGTGCAGATGGGGAAACCGAGGCCCAGAGTGGCCCAGAGCTTCCCCCCCACCCCAAGTCTCGTTCCTTATGCTTGCAGGGCTGGGGAACGTCCCGCCCACCCACTCATTTTGTGGGGCCCTGCCAAGGCAACCACAGCTGGGACTCGAAATTCCACCTATTGCAGGCTAATTTTCAAGTTGCTGTTTGTGTGGCCCATGAGGTGAGCCATGTTATAAATATCCAGGTGGCCCTGGGCAGGAGAAAGGTGGCCACCCTTGCCTTAGAGTCTCCAGGGAACTGAGTATGGCCTCGGAGCTTGGTTGGGCTAAGCCCCGGGTGGACCCGTGGTTGGGGGGGTTGCACAATTGCTCAGGGCCTCTGTCTGAATCCAGGACTGAGTGGGCGTTTCTGCTGTGGGCATCACAGGGAGTGGGAGGGAGGGAGGTCGCATGGACAAGCTCCCCTGGTGCCCTGGGCCTTGGATTTCCGTCACCGGGCAGAGTTTCTGCCTTGTTTTAATTGTGCTGGGAGGTCGTATTGAGTGTCTGGACACAGAGGGGTTAATACCATCGGGATTGCACTCCTCACAGGGGAGTTCGGGGTTCCAACAGAGAGTGGGGAACGCAGGGGCAGGGGGCTGGCACGCCTTCTCTCTCCTGCTACAGGGACTGGGTTTCATGCTGGCCTGGGGCCGGCTTGAGTGTTCGGCAGGTGTATGCGTCATGGTCCCTGCAGAGCTGGTGCCGATCCCCCCTTCACTGTCCCCTTCTTTCCCTCCCCAGGCCCTCCCGCACCCCTTGGCCTTGACACACAACATGGGGTGGCTGCAGCTCTTAGGGAGGATGTTCGTGCTTATCTGGGCCACGTGCATCTCTGTGAAAGAGGTGAGTGGGCCACTAAGCCCTTCCAGCCTGCCCTGTGAGGCCCGCAGAGGCACAGCAGGTCTGCTTCCATCCCTCCCTGCTCTGCCTTTACTCTAGGGGGCTCCAGGGCGTCCTCTTTCTAACTTGGGTTCTTATTACAATGTGGGAACAAATGAATAGGGCAGGCCTATCCTACCTTTTCATCCATCTGCCCCTCCATGCAGCTGCTCGGTGTCCACACTTCCCACACGGTCACCTGCCGTCTCTCATCAACCTAGCAGCTCATTCTCCCTTTCCAGTACTGCTCCTGCTTGCCTACCATCCCTCCTCCTTGATCCCAGCATCTCTCCATCTCTCCATGCACACATTCAGCCAACCAGCCGACCACCCAGTAGGCACATTCTGAACATCTTCTGTCCGTGGGGCCTGGCAGAGCTGATAGGATTGGAGGGAGTTTGCCATGTTGGAGTTTGCAGTCAGCTGGGGACACAGCATGGCCGCACACATCTAGACTCTAAGGCAGACTCTGAGAAGGGCCCACGGTTGGGTTTAGGCCCATTTTCGGAGGAAGGGAGATGACTTTTATCTGGGATCAGGAGGAGACAGGCAAGGCTTCCAGGCAGGGGTTAGGGTAGGGACTGTGGATAAGGTCATCGCAGGGTGGGTGTGGGGAATGGCATGGGCAAAGGCTCAGAGGCTGGAGAGCTAGGCTGTGTCTGGGGGATGGCAGGTAGCCGTAGTGATGGTCTAGCTGTGCAGGTCCTGGGCTGAAGACAGGGCCAGGGAGGGAGAGAGGTAAGATCAGGGTGGGGTCGTCTGTGTTCCCGCAGGCACAGGTCCCCTTCCATGTCCCTCCCTGGGTCCTGGCTGGGCCTCACCCCTCCCCAGGGCCCCCAGCAGGGGGCACAATGAAGACACAGCTTTTCTTTCCTCCTTGGCCTTAGGGCATTGCCATCTTCCTGCTGAGACCCTCGGATCTGCAGTCCATCCTATCGGACGCCTGGTTTCATTTTGTCTTGTAAGTAGGGCTGCCCCCTTGGTCACCGGCTCACAGGTAGGGCCAGAGCCCCGTGTGGTAGCTGCTGTGCCTCTGTGGAGCAGGTGCCCTAGTGTGTCGCTGTTCCAGTCCTTGTGCCCTGGTCACACGGCCAGGACTTTGCTCGCTCCCTTCTAGAAAGAAAGGCGCGGGGACGCCTGTGGCGAGGGTCAGAAAGTCAGAGCTCAGCGCCTGCCGGCTGGCGGCAACCACAGGGCCTCACAAGGAGGCATAGCAGTCGGCGGTTTCAGGGCAGCCTCTGCTGGTGGCATGGCCAGTTGGGGGCAGCCAGGGTGGACCTTGGCAGGTGGGGACTTGAAGTTGCTGGGGAAATCCTCAAGTCTCAACTGCAGACACCGCTGAAGCTGCCAGAGTGGGGGTGTGAGTCACTCATGGTCACGGGAACGTCAGTGGTGCCCAATCCCCAGCCTCCTTGTCATCCTCACCCCACGCCAGTGCAGGGCTGTGGCCACAGGCGCCTGCCAGCAGCCGTCTGCATGAGGCCACGTGCGGCTGACATCAAAGGCTCGTGTGAGCGCATGGTGACTCAGCACCGCTGCCGTGGGGAAGCGGCGGGGGCAGGACAGGGCTGGGAGCTTGGGCTGCAGACTGTGGGCTCCAGCGCTCGGGGCCCTTGCTCAGGTTCCTCTTCTGAGCACTGGGGAGGCTGGGTCCACGGGCTGGGTCCGAGTCTTGGCCTGATGCTTACACATACCTATGTGTTTTATTAAGTGTGTTCCTGCCTTGAGCATGAGCGGAGTTCTTTACCCCATGAGCAGGCTGGGCCCCAGACAAGGCAGTGAGTGGGCAGGGCAGGTGCAACACTGCCCTCTATGCAAGGCTCATCTTTGAGGAAGTGGGAGGGTCCACTACCCAGAGACACATCCCCTTCCACAGCCCTGGGTTTTAGTCTGGACAAAAGGTCCCAGTGCACTGTCCTGCACTTCTGCTTCCTGTTTTTTGTGAGTGTGGAGGAAGAAGAAACATCTTCCTCATGTCAGTCCCGAATGCAGTCGATCCGCTAGGCCTTTGCTTCTCATTGCACCAGAAAAATATAATCTCCCCTGTGTCCTCCCCTGAGCTCAGTGTTTTACCATTGTGGAAACTTCCTGCTGTTAGAAGCAAGAAAGAACTTTTATCCAGATGTGTGCAAAAGCCAAAGGTGCATGCGCTGTTGAAGAAAATGCTTTGGTCTTGATTGTTTGGTATAAGAGCTCTGCAACCGTGGATTCGACCAACTGAAGATCGAAAATGTTCACAAAGAATTATGTCTGTACATGTGGACATTATTCCCTGAACAATGCAGCGTGACTGTTTACCTAGCATTCACCCTGTATTAAGTCTTAGAAGCAATCTGGAGGTGATTTAAAGTGCGTAGGCGGATGTGTGTAGGTTCCATGTAAAGACTGAGCCCTGTCATGTAAGAGACTTGCTACAACCTGCTGTCGTAGGGACTTCGGATTTTGGTATAGGGGGTGGTCCTGGAGCCCATCCTCCTCAGATACCAAGAGATGACTACACTGTAAAAAATGTTTATTTATTTTTAAAATTTTTAATGATTTATTCAGTTGAAAGAGTTAGAGAGAGTTTGAGAGAGAGAGAGAGAGAGAGAAATATCTTTCATCTGCTTGTTCACTCCCCAAATGGCCACAATGGCTGAGGCTGGGTCAGGCTGAAGTCAGGAGCTTCTCCCACATGGGTGGCAGGGGCCCAGGCACTTGGGCCATCTTTCTCTGCTTTCCCAGGCACATTGGCAGGGAGCTGGATCAGAAGTAAAGCTGTTGGGACTTAACCGGCACTCACGGGATGCTGGCACTGCAGGCAGCAGCTTTACCTGCTGTGCCACAGTGCCAGCCCATTAAAAAATTTTAGTTATGGTTAAATACTCATAGTATAAGAGTTACCATTTTCAAGCACACACCTCCAATAAATACATTTGCACTGCTGTTCAGCCTGTCTCCAGAACTCTTTGCATCTTGCAAACCTCATGGTCTATACCCATGAAGCAGCAGCCCTGCTCCCCCGCCCCTCCTGCCCCCATCTCTGCGAGTCTGACCATCTTAGGTACCTCACAGAAGTGGACTCACATAGTTTTGTCTTCTTATGACTGGCTTATTTCCCTTAGCATATGCCATACTTTGTTTAAAGGATTAAAAAAAAATAAAGAGGGGCGGGTGTTTGGTGCAGTGATCATGTTGCCACGTGGCACCGAGGGCCTGGGTTTGAATCCCAGCTCCGCTTCCAGCTCCCTGCTAACGTGCACCCTGGGAGGCAGCAGGTGATGGCTCCAGTGCTGGGGTCCCCGCCACCTGTAGAGTCTGAGCCTCCCACTGAGCTTTGGCCTGGCCCAGTCCCTGATGTTGTAGGCATTTAGAAAGTGAACTAGCAGATGGAAGAGCTCTGTCTGCTTCTCTCTGCCATTCAAATAAATGAAAATAAAAATATAACAATTTCTGAAAGAAAAAAAAAGAGTGGTTGTTGGAGACTTTGCTGTGGCTGATTTTTAAGTGTGGATGTTGGCAGCTTCTGTCGTGGTTAAAAATGCAGCCTTCTGCTGTCTCATTGGTCTACCCCGGCAGCTACCACATCTATGTGGGAATCGGAAATCATGTGGGTGATTTAAGAACTCTCTGGCTTCCTGGGCTACACCCCAGAATCTCCTGGGAATTTGGGGCTCTTGATTTTTTTTTTTCGAAACATCTGTGTCAGCTGCTACCAGCCCACCACAGACCCCCAACTCCCATCTGGTGGTGGTGTTGGTGAGGCTGGACTTGACATGGGAGAGTGGGTCTCTCAGGGCGATGGCTCAGGGGGTTGAAGGGAGGCCTGGGGGTTGGGACGACGTCTCTGCCCTGCTGTGGAGGAGGATTAAGTAAAGCCCTTGTCTCCTGTGTCTCCTGAACAGTTTTGTCCAAGCTGTGCTTGTGATACTGTCTGTCTTCTTGTACTTGTTTGCCTACAAAGAGTACCTCGCCTGCCTCGTGCTGGCCATGGCCCTGGGCTGGGCGAACATGCTGTACTACACGCGGGGGTTCCAGTCCATGGGCATGTACAGCGTCATGATCCAGAAGGTGCGTTCGTGCTGCTGGGCCCCCAGAAGCCTGGGCGAGGCGGGAGGGAGGACAGCCTGAGTGCCGGCTCGGTGAGGGCAGGAGGAAGCAGGCGAGCGCGAGGCTTACGCTGGAATTTTGTCTGTTTTTTGTAGGTCATTTTGCACGATGTCCTCAAGTTCTTGTTCGTATATATCGTGTTCTTACTTGGATTTGGAGTAGGTAATTGACTTGCAGTAATTGTAATTCCCACTCTCGGGAAAACACTTTTTGGAAGTTGGAATGACCAGAGCACGCAGTAGCCTTAGCAACGATTCCATCCCCTGCCCCCCCACTGGCCTAGCATTTTCCATGCATTGCCTCTTACTCTCTCAACAACTTGGTCCAGTGGTGGTCATCATCCCGGTCACAAAGTAGCTGAGGCATGAAGACTGAGGCCTGTCACTGTCCCCTTCCACACCCTCCACACCCTCCACATCGCTCCCCTACTTTCACAGCCCTGAGCAACCCGAGAAAGCCTCGGCAGGTGCTTTTGGCCCCGTTATGCAGATGGGGAGACTAAGGTGGACAGAAATTTGATTGATGGTCTTTGCAAAGAAGGAGCAAGCAGTGCACTGCAGCCACTTCGTTTGGCCTTCGGATCTTGCTACCCCCACGCTTTGCCTCACGGAACTCCGCGAGAGCCTCTGACCTGCTGAGGAGCAGGAATGTGGAGCCCCCTTTTAAAACCTCTCCATTTATAACCGAGAGGACAGCACAACCTGATTTTACTCCTAACTTCTGCATGGACAGATGGGACTTTTGTCCCATACCACTTTTCCCACCCCAACCCCCTTTCCTTCAGTGATCACTGGCGTTCGAAATTCAGCGGTCTACGGCCTTTTCTGAGTCGAAATTTGTTTACTTATTTGCTTCTTCAGCTGATCATTTATTCACCCACCCATTCTTTCATTAATTTGTCCATCCACCCATTGGTCCATCCACCCATTGGGCCATCCACCCATTGGTCCATCCGTCTATCCCTCCAGCCAGCAATGAACCGTTGCTGTGCTGTGTTAGAAAGAAGAGGAAAGTGAGGTCTTGCTAAAGGAGAACTCAGGGCAGAGCAGTGAGAGGAGACTCAGGGCCTCCCACAGTCTTGGGGGAGGTGCCCCCTGCAGGAATCCAGGAGTTCCAAGATGAACTAGGGATCAGGGACAGCACACACTGGTTATAATTAGCAATTCTGCTAGGCTGTGAATGGCCAAGGGCCAAACTGTGGGGTGGAGGGTGGAGGGGGCTTTGTTAGGTGGGTTGGCTTTCTGCAGGAGGGCGGGGCACCTGAGGCTGGAGATGGACAGCAGGCAGCGGCGGGCCCGCAGGTGGGCGCATGCGCACGAGCTCTGCGGCAGCTAGCCAGGCTGAGCGGCTCACGGGAGCCGTCCTGTCGTCCCAGCGCTGGCGTCGCTGATTGAGAAGTGCTCCGAGGGCAACGCGGAGTGCAGCTCCTACGGCAGCTTCGGGGACGCGGTGTTGGAGCTCTTCAAGCTCACCATCGGCCTGGGCGACCTGAACATCCAGCAGAACTCCAAGTACCCCATCCTGTTTCTGTTCCTGCTCATCACCTACGTCATCTTCACCTTCGTCCTCCTCCTCAACATGCTCATCGCCCTCATGGGCGAGACCGTGGAGAATGTGTCCAAGGAGAGCGAGCGCATCTGGCGCCTGCAGGTGAGCAGAGGGCCCAGCGTGGGAGCCCTCAGGGGGACGCGGCGCAGCACCCAGGCACTGCCGGCCGCCGGCACCAGTCGGGGTGGGGCAGGGCTGTGAATCTGCTTAAGCTCCCCTGTGATTGGCCAGATCTCAGAAAGCCCTGCCCTAGGATCTTTGAGGAAGGGTCCAGGAGGTGTGGCTGAACAGCATCATGGATGAGGAGGACTCTGGCTCGTGGGGGTGGCCCGCTCAGAGTCAGCCTTGTGAATGGTGGGTGTCGAAGGGCGACCGTGGGTGTATTTTTTTTTTTTTTTTGACAGGCAGAGTTAGAGAGTGAGAGAGGCAGAGAGACAGAGAGAAAGGTCTTCCTTCCGTTGGTTCACCCGCCAAATGGCTACTATGGCTGGAGCTGCGCTGATCCGATGGCAGGAGCCAGGTGCCTCCTCCTGGTCTCCCATGGGGTGCAGGGCCCAAGCACTTGGGCCATCCTCCACTGCACTCCCAGGCCACAGCAGAGAGTTGGACTGGAAGAGGAGCAACCGGGACAGAATCCGGTGCCCCTACCGGGACTAGAACCTGGTGTGCCGGTGCGGCAAGGTGGAGGATTAGCCACATGAGCCGTGGTGCCGGCCAGGGTGTATTAAGAGGAGTGCAGGATCTGGGTTAGTGGAGGTGATGGTGCCGTTCTACTCCTCACACACCAGGGATGCCAACCCACAGGATGGGGCCAGAGGCAGTGACCAGATTTGAGTGGACTGGCTACTGCCTTGGAGGTTGCTGGAAACTGGGGTGGGAGAAGGTGAGAGTTTCTGTAAATGTTTACTGAGCTGCCTGTGAGAGAGGGAATATCTCTCCTCAGGGGCCCCAGAAGGCAGAACCAAGGTACACGGCAGAACCAAGATACACAGCAGAACTGCAGGGAGAGAAACTTTTTTTAAAAAAATATTTTTTTGAAAGGCAGGGGTATACAGACAGACAGACAGACACACACACACACAGAATCTTCTGTCCACTGGTTCATTCCCCAAATGGCCACAACAGCCGGAGCTGGCCCAGGCCAAAGCCAGAAGCCTGGAACTCCCTCCAGGTCTCCCATGTGGCTGGCAGGGGCACAAACACCTGGGCTAGCTGCTGCTGCTTCCCCAGGTGCATTCGCAGGGAGCTGGATCAGAAGTGGAGCAGCCTGGATTTGAACCAGTGCTCATATGGGATGCTGGGGTTGCAGGTGGCAGCTTAACCCACTGAGCCACGACACTGGCCCTGAGAAAAGCTTTGATTGACACAAAGAAAGTGTCTACTTATGGGCCGGCGCCATGGCTCAATAGGCTAATCCTCCGCCTGCGGTGCCGCCACACCGGGTTCTAGTCCCGGTCGGGGCGCCGGATTCTGTCCCGGTTGCCCCTCTTCCAGTCCAGCTCTCTGCTGTGGCTCAGGAGGGCAGTGGAGGATGGCCCAAGTGCTTGGGCCCTGCACCCACATGGGAGACCAGGAGAAGCACCTGGCTCCTGCCTTCGAATCAGTGCAGTGCGCCGGCCGCAGCGGCCATTGTGGGGTGAACCAATGGAAAAAAGAAAGACCTTTCTCTCTGTCTCTCTCTCACTGTCCACTCTGCCTGTCAAAAAAAAAAAAAAAAAAGTGTCTACTTATGAAGACAGCTAAATTAGATTGTGGATAATGCTCGGGAGAGATTGGACAAGTTTTTCCCAGGAAGACTGCCAGTGGCTTCCCAGACTGGGAGGGCAGCGGGACTCCATCATGTCTCAGCTTTCCTCTGTGTTGGGATTCCAGGATGTGGACGTCTTTAGTTAGGGGAGGCCTGAACTTCCAGAGATATCACATGGTGCTCCAAGCTCTTTGATTGTCTTTCCCAAGTGTTCTGCTTTTTCATCTTTGCATCCTTGGGATTAGTGGAGTCCTCAGGATCTAGGCACTGAGCATGTAGCGGGGATGCCGTGTGTGTGTACCTGTTTGCATGTGCATGCAGCAGCCATGGAGCTGCGCTCCCGGGGCTGGCTCCGAGCAACCTGCTGAGGCTTGCTTATGTCCCCAGAGAGCCAGGACGATCTTGGAGTTTGAGAAGATGTTGCCGGAATGGCTGAGAAGCAGATTCCGCATGGGGGAGCTGTGTAAAGTGGCCGAGGAAGACTTCCGACTGTGTTTGCGGTAACTGAGGGAGAGGGCCCTTCCGTGGGGGCTTTTTGGGGGTGGATGGAGGTGGATGAACCAGTGTGACCAAAATATCAGGGAAATGGTGCTGCCCCTCGATTGCTGTAACCAAGGCCGTTGTCTCTTGGGCCTTCTCAGAGGACGGACTCAACTCTTGTGGCATCGTGAGCTCAGGGTGAGCTTCAGAAAGAGGGAGGGGACTGCCCGCTCTGCTTTCACCCTCTGTCCCTTTGAAGGTGCCTTAACAGCCTCTCCCTGGCCAGGGTTGGGCTTAGAAAAGATTTACCAGCCTGACCTTTGTTCTTTTGTCCACCCTCCATGGGTTCATGTGACAGCAGAGGGAATGGGGCACTACTTTAGTATTGGCAAGTAGAAGTGAGATAGTCACTTTTCTTTTTTAAAGATTTATTTTCTTTATTTCAAAGGCAGAGTGATGGTGGGGGAGGGGGAGAAGAGAGGGAGGGAGGGAGAGAGAGGTCTTCCATCTACTTTTTCACTCCCCAGATGGCCTCAATGGCTGGGGCTGGGCCAGGATGAAGCGAGGAGCCCAGGACATCTTCTATGGACAAATCCACACTTTTTGGATTTTTGTAAAGTCCCCCCAAATCCCATGATGAGCCCACCTTTTCTGATAAGTCTGTCTGTTCTCACCCTTTCCTAACTGCCTGACCCTACAGACTTCCATTTTTGCATATAACTGTACTTCCTTAAATTACTTCTCTGAGGCCAGCATGCTGGCATTGTGGCAGGTTAGACTGCCCCTTGGAATGCTGGCATCCAACATGGGATGCAGTTTTAAGCCCCGGCTGCTCCATTTCTAATCCAGCTCCTTGTTAATGTGCCTGGGAGGGAAGTGGAAGATGGCCCAAGTGCTTGGGCCCCTGCAACCATGTGGGAGACCAGGATAGAGTTCCTGGCTCCTGGCTTCAGTCTGGCCCTGACCTGGTTGTTACAACCATTTCCAAATGGATCAGTGGATAGAAGATCTTTCTCTCCTTCTGCCTCACCCTGTTGTTTTGCCTTTCAAATAAATAAATAAATGAAACTTAAGCAATAAATTACTTCTCTAATTGAAGTTCTCCCTCTTGGAAGCCACCGTTGCTGACCATCATCTTTGCATTAACAGATATTTCTGATTTTGAGGGAACATCACTCCAGAGATGTTCTCTGAATGTGAGCTGAGGTCAGACCCACTCCAGCTGTCACTCAACACCTCAGGCACTGCCCACTCCCATTACGACATGAACCCTAACCACCTTCTCTTAAAGTGTCTCTAACCCTAGCTAAACTTCCACACTTTCAACCCTCACACTTTCTTAGCTTTCCCTCCCTCCAGGCCGACTCCCTCTCACCAATCAGGCACAGCTGTGATGTCGGAAGATGCACCCTTTGTCTTAGCACCTTATAGGATTCTTGGGTCCTGCACCCTGGTAGGAGAATGGATCCTTGAGGCCTGGGAAAATGGGGCTCCAGGCAGGTTTCAAACACTAACAGCGCTGCTGTGTCCATGGGGAGCAGGCAGGGTCCTGGTCCCCAGGATGGACAGAAAGAGAGCTGTTTAGAGATGAGGATATTCCAAATGCTGCTCCACTTGTTTGTGTTTGATGAGATGTGGTTGCCAAGTAGCAAAAATAATGGTTATACTTGCAGGATCAATGAGGTGAAGTGGACCGAATGGAAAACACACGTCTCCTTCCTGAAAGAAGACCCGGGACCCATAAAACGGACAGGTAACTGTTGCTGCAAGGCACTGTGGGATCTGGTCCTGTCTGACTGTGTGACCTTGGGGCCAATCAAGTTTGAGGACCACGACTTTTCTCCATCTGTGAAACAAGGGTCTCTTCCAGCTTGGATGCTTTATAACTTCAGTTGGAACAACTTCTAAAAAAGCAGGTGTTGCCCCCAAGACATCAGACATGGCACACAGAATGATATGTTTCTAAAAACAGTTTTATTATTATTTTTAAAGCAGACTTAAACAAGATTCAAGATTCGTCCAGGAGCAACAGCAAAACCACCCTCAATGCATTTGAAGAAATGGAAGAATTCCCGGAAACTTCAGTGTAGATGCAAACCCAGGGCTGTCTGATGCTGCAGGCTGAGACTCTGTGCTGAGGGGCTTTGCAGGGTGCTGGGCCTGGCTCTGCCAGCCCAGGAGCAGCAAGCCCCCACCCCCCCCAATGCTGAGTGCCACTGGACTGAGGGGCACTTGCCAGTTGAAACGCCCTGGGATTTGCTAGTTGGCAGAGTTTGTGTGCACCCATGGCCAGTGGCCCCGAAAATGGGAGTGTCCTGAAGTCATGGGTGAAGTCCCTGATTTCACAAACTGCTGGTCAGCAGACGGGGGTGGGGTGGGGTGGTGCCGAGTCTTCCTGCTGCCAGTGTCTCCCAAGATCACAGATCCCAGCCCCCACACCTCACGGACATCCTCACCACGCCCGAATGCGTGGGAGACTTTTGATCTTGTCCCAGGATGTGCAGGGCTCTGAGCTGAGCCACATATCCTGAGGGAGGAGGGGAGCGAGTTCTGGAAATGTCCTTCTGGAACCTTCAGAAAACAGGAAACCACCCTTGGAAAGAAACCCAGGGCTTAGACCGAGGGAGATTTTTAGTAGCGTGATGAACACAGGAGTTTTATTTTCAATAGAGACAAGACATTTCAGTTTTTGAATGAAAATTACTTTAGATGAAGGATGTGATTTTTAAAAAGCTGAGAAGTAGATTTTGGGCTTGTTGTGTTAGATAATTGGCCTCAGGGTAGCCGGGCAAGGACAAAAGGCTTTTCTTCACACACACAGAAGTTCACTTGGACTGGCTGGGTGGGTCCTTTCCCCGGGGGCTGGGATCTGGGTGAAAGGGCTTGGCTCCTATCCTGGCCCCTTCTCGTCCTGTCGCAAGGCATGGAGCTGGGATCACGGCTCCATCTGAAACGAAAGTAGCAGCTGCTCTGTTCCTACGCCCTTGACTTTGAGAGGTTATGAGTGTCTGTCTTTGGGGGGAATTTAACAAAATACCTGAAATGCTTTGGCATTAAATATCTTTGTTAACTGTGAATTCTGAGGCTGACGGGGAAGGCTTGTGAACGAGGAACGTTTGCCAAGACTTGGAGCTTATTTTTAGATCTTCACCCTCTGATGTGCTGCCCCTGCAATTACTCAGAGTCAGTTTGGGGGCAGGGGTGAGGCGGAGATTGGCGAAATCTTCTAGGTGACCAGAGCTTAAGCAAACACAAATCCACTCTGCCTCTGTTATCTGGGGAAAGGGTTCCTGGGGGGAGTTTGTGAAGTGAAATTATAAAGATAGTTACCATGAGTTAATTTTAATTTTAATTGTATTTTAAAAATTAATTTTGTTTAAGAGGCTGAGAGGTGTACATAGACAGAGCTCCCACCTGCTGGTTCACTCCTCAAATGCCTGCACAGTGGCCCCAGGCTGGGGCTGAAGCCAGGAGTCAAGAACTCAATCCAGGTTTCCCACATGGGTGGCAGGGACCCAGTCACTTGAGCCAGCACCACGGCCTCCAGGGTGTGCATGAGCAGGGAGCTCGAATCAGGAGTGGAGCCGGGAATCAAACCCAGGTACTTCAATGTAGGATGTGAGTTTCTTAACTGCTAGGCCAAATGCCTGTCCCTTAATTTTAAACGGCACAAGAGTTCATTTGGCTTTCAGACAACTTGGCAATTTCCTTTTTAATCTGACTTGAGGCAAACCGAGTCCTGGTCGAGCCATGGGCCAGTGTCTGCACCCCTGCACCTCCACTGCTCTGGGTGTCAGCTTAGCTAGATGGATAGAGACTTGGCCTCTGTGCCCCGATGGCTGGGTTGGGGAGAAGGGGGAGGGGAAGAAGATGCAGCATTGAGAACTCCACCACCTGGCAGCCCTCACACTCCCAGCCAAGCTGTGGCGTCAACAGGTGTGCTAAGCCAGGGGCATGCAGCCAAGCTCAGGTGTGGGGTAGGTGGCTCTGGGTATGAGTCTCTGGAGAAGAGATTTGAGGGGCTGTCATGGGGGCAGAATGTGTGCCTGGTGTGCAGAACTAGCAAAAGAATTAGAGAAAGATGTTGGCTCAGTTCAGTCCAGCAACAACTCCAGATATTGGAGATATTTAAACAGAAGAAGTTTGAGCAGTCATTAGGGACGTTGTTGAAGATAGTAACTGAGTGAACATCGAGTTTCCTTTCAGTGTGGAGATTCTACAACCCAGCCCTCCACAGACGCAGTCACCTCCTTGCTTTTATGCTGAGCAGGCGCTCTGGTTTGAAGGGCAGCCACTTGGACCCATGGTGCCATGCGCTACACTGTGGAGCTGGGAACTCCAGAACTGCTTTGCATAGGATAGTAATAGCTAAATCTATGTGGTTCCCTGTTTCCCACTTGGACAGGTATTGGGGATGTTTGGCAAATGGAAATCAGTAACTGGGCCTCTGTCTTCTCATATGTGACAGAGAGCTGCTCTCTGTGGATCTGTGTGGAATGTGTTGGTAAGATCACTTTCTGTGTTGGGTGTTCCATGGCATCCCCCAAAGGCTTTCAGCCTAGAAGGTCTGAGCCTAGGCAGGTTTCCCAAGGCAAAGGGAAGCAATGGGCTTGAAAGCACCCAAGTCAAAAGGACCCCATTTTTTACACCTGGAGACTAAACTGACTGGAACGTGTGCTTGTTCAGAGTCATGTGGGAAGTTCTACCAGAGCTGTTGAAGCAGGAATATCCCAGTTCCTGGACCATGGATTGCCCATGCACCAGTTTTGTTTTTAAAGCACACATATTCAGGACGTTTGAGTCTAGCTATGTGGTCAGCAAATGTCAGGGACTAGGGCTTTGTGTCAGATGGCTCATTTGGCAGGCAACACTGTGCCCGTGATCGCGCTGGCTGGTCTAAAAGTCAAGTGTACACACACACTCTGAGCCCATGGGCCTCTCAGGACATGGTGACATGTGATGATTTGCATTTCAGAAAGTTAAGGGGAAGGTGTTTTCCAGGGATGGGATCGCCCATGCTCAGACTGTGGGTTTTGCTGCAATTGTTCTTCCAGCTAAACCTCTCCTCAGAAAGAATTCATTATTCTGGACATGATGTGATGGATCTATTTGAACAAAAAGGGTGCTGCTTTCCTCGCTGGGGTATGGGAGAAGTTGTGCGAGGTTGTACTGTGAACTCACTGAGCTCTTGGCAGGCCCCTGCCTGAGAGAGCCCAGTGTTGCTGACATTCCTTTCCTTCCTCAAGTCCTGGGGAGCTGTGTCCTGTTGCTCTGGGCAGGGCCCGGGTAGATGGGGCGTCCCCTGAGCCTGTAAGCCATACTTGACCGCTGCACTGATTTACATGTTGTTTTATAAACTGTGATCTTGATTCCAAACACAGCATTGTCACCCCTTCTCACTGAACATGCCTGATCTTTGTAAACTGTAATTTACATCCTTGTTCTTAGTGCTGTGTGTGTGAAACTCTATGTTCAAGAAAGAAATCATACGAAGAGCAAGAACATTTTACTCCATGGAAGAAATGCTTTTTTTTTCTTTTTGGTTTGTAATAAATATTTATTTTGCCTTGTTGTGGTCATGTTTTATCCTTGCCTTGGGTGTGCCAAAGGGAAGAACCATTAGAAATCCTAGAGTGTTGCTTACCAAGTGTGAATAAGGGAAGGCCAGTTTTTGGATGTGAAGCATTGTTAATGGTCCCAGCTCAGGGGCAGAGCCAGCAAGCTGTACGACACATCACCTTCATCCAGTGTTTATAGCTCAAACTGCATTCATGTCTGATACCCCATGTGAGCCCATCAGCAACTTTGTGAGTCGTTTAAAAAGGAGACTCAGAGAGTGCAAGTGACATGCCCAAGGATTCCCAGCCAGAAAACGTCATCCATTCAGGACATACGACCCTCGGGCAGTGCTCCATCCATCATGCCCTGCTGGCTCTCCATGGATTCTGCCCATGGCTCCACCCGGAGACCAGAAGGTTTAAATTCCTCCTGTGTGCCAGAATGGATACGAAAGATCTGATATCATTACTATCATTATTCCTATCAGCCCAACTCTCAATATGTGCATTATTGCCTTTTGAGTTATTTCAGAAGGATGGCAATTCTCAACATCAATGACAAGACACTGCTTTGTCTGGATGGGTAGTGGAACTAGAGATCAACTTATTAGTAAGTGAAATACTACATTTGGTGAATTATTTACTAAATTCTAATGATGTTCTGAATAATTTCCTGCACTGGGATGTATCTTATTGACTCATAAATAAATGGGAATTGTATGTAATTTTCATCCCAGTTTAAACAGACTTTAGATCATAATCCAGGAATCTGCCATCCCTGGGAACATTCTAGGTGGACTGACAGAAAAAAACATGGAGACTACATTGTAGGGTATATTTCTGGCAATGCGATGTCCAAGCCAAAGGGCATGAATATTTTTATGGCTTTTAATATGGTGAAAAATTACCTAGCCAAAAGGATTATATCAATGTTTTCAGGTTACATTACAAAGCCCTCTCATTCATGCTGGGTGAGAATGATATCCCAGTTTATAGGTGGGGAAAGTAGGACTTGGAAACAGATGAAACGACATGTCTATGTCACAAAACATTGTCCTGGCCTGAGGATTTGGGTTCCCTGAGGTTTAGTTAGTCCAGTATCAAGAGACATCCTCATTTCCCACTATACCAGGCCACCGCTCTGACAGTAACAGCAAAGGGAAGGGTCCAGTTCTACAAGAATGTATCCCTTCCCATATGAGAGGCTGTAGAGCCAGTCAAAACGTTCAATACAATGAACATCTTGGATGTGCAAAGACACAAACATGAGTAAGGCAATTTCTCACATTAAAGGTGGTGCAAGGAGGGGAGGAAGAAGTTAATATTTACCGAGTGCCTGCTGTGTGCCATGTGATTTATGTACTTCATCCTATTTTATCTCCACGACCCCCCCTTAGCACTGCCCAGTGGTGCTTCTGTTTCCTTCATTGGCTCTCCGTCCTGTTTTCTGGGAGCTGTTTCAAAGCTGCCATACTTCCTAACCCTGTGAGCCCACCACTTCCCTCTCACTCAATTTTGCAGTGAGAATAGAATCTGACATGGAAAGACCTTCCACTCTGGCCACCAGGCCTACAGATTCATTGGTATGCACACCGATTGCATTAAACTTCCTGCCCAGAGACTTCTTGCCACTTCCTTGGGATTACTTGTTTCATGATAGAGAAAGTTATTCCTCCACTTTAGAGATGTATTTTCTACAAATGAGCTTTTATGTTAAACATTTAGCCCATCTGTAGCTAATGTGGCTCAAATATCTTTTCTCTTCTAATTGATACTATGGCAATCCCCTGGCCCCAGCTTTTTGGTCCAGTTTGGTTTTTTGTTTTCCTTTAAATTTATTATATTCATTTGAAAGAGTGATGGTGGGAGGAGGGGAAAGAGAGAGAGAGAGAGAGAGAGAGAGAGTGAATGTATCCATGGGTTGAGTGAATGTATCCATGGGTTCACTGCCCAAATGGCTACAATGGTTAGCACTGGGCCAGATTGGAGCCAGGAACCAGGAACCTCCTCAGGGTCTCCCATGGGGGTGGCAGGGCCCAAGCACTTGGGCCATCTTCCACTGCTTTCCCAAGTTCAATAGCAGGGAGCTAGATCAGAAGCAGAGCAGCTGTGACTTGAACAGGCACTTCCAAATGATACTGGTGTTGCATACGGTGGCTTAACCTGCTGTGCCACAACGCTGCTCTCTGGTTGAGTTTGTTTACTAATCACGTCCTTGTTCTTTGTCTTGGCTGAACTGAGGAAACTCTCATCCTGTCCTTCTGTCTGATGGGCTGTGAAATTCTAGGCTGTGTACTGCACTTTGTGCAGAGATATAAAAAGAGCACTGAGAATCCCTAAGTGGTCATTCTTCAGACTTGTCTTCATGGGGTGTGGGAACACAGGCCTTTCAGACACTCCCTGGCACTGATCTGGCTGCCCTGTTGCACTTATGGGCACTGCCCCCTCCCAGCACAACAGCCTTGGTCATCTCCACGGCGCTCTCAGGCTATGGAGTCCTCCACTACCTATCCCCATTGGGTCTTTCAATTGAAGCAGTGACTATATGGGGGGATCTTCAAAAAGTTCATGGAAAATACATCGTAGGAAAAACTCTGTACGGATTTCAGTTTTTTGTTACCAAAATAAACTTATTTTTCCATTCCATTCCCCATAGACGTTTGGAAGTCCCTCCCCCTCTGTGGTCCATCATTCCAGTCCCAGTGTTAACTGCTGGGGTCTCCTGCTGGCTGTCTCAGGATCACCCATGTGGGGAAGTAAAAATCCTCTCTCCCTAGGAAGCCCTTCCGGATGGCATCTGCCTCACTGTGTCAACTCGTGTTAATCCAACAACTCAATCTAATTCCTTCTGTGTGTTGAGTGCTGCAGATGCTACAAGACAAAATCTTCCCTGCTGTCCTGGAGCAATTGCAGTCTCACCAGAGAGGCAGTCACTAACTGCTCCTTTCTGCAACTCTGCAAATCCCTGTGCCTGCAGCTTGGCCAAGTGCAGGAGTGCCAGGGAGCCTGTGTAATGGAGCGGCCTAACCGAGCCTGGGGCACAGCTCAGGTAAGGGGAGTGTGGGGGTGGGGCAGGGGCTCAAGGTGGGAGGAGACACTATTGGCAAAGACCCAAAGACAGCAGGGCGCTTGGTGCTTCTGAGGCCTGCAGCAGCCTGTATGGCCAACCGGCTGGGAGCAAGGAGCCGCGCAATGTCAGGCAGGAGGGGCAAGCAGAGGCCGAGTATGCAGGATTTGTCCCACTGTGGAGAGGCTTTGAGACTTCCCATCAAGGGTGAGGGGGCCCCCCAGTGTGGACAGACAGGTCCCTGACCCCCCTCCCCCACCACGGGGTGGAAGGCTTAGAAGGGTGTGTTTTCTTCCTGCTATCTTTTGGGACACAGTAGCAGCCTGAAGGGGGTCAAACGCAATGAGTTTTACTCCGGAATGATGAGGGAATGTTCAGGAAGTGAGTGGGAAAGAAGGCAGGGACATGGTGGACTACGGGGATGTTTTGGTAGAGGAGGGGTGCTTGTGCATACTCTTCTATTCCCTACATTTATTGGATTTTAGATTGTAGACACTGGAAAAGACACCGTTAGTGACCTCAAGACAAGACAGAAGGAGGACAACCAGGCCAGATACAGGGAGACCAAGACGGCTTCATGCCAGCAATGAGAGCTGAGTTGCATTTGGAAGGAAGCCCAGGGGTTACCTAGGGCAAGATCTGAATGGGATGGGGGCTGGGGGCTGGTGGGGAAAATTCTAGGTGGAGGAGCCAGTCTGTGTGAAGGCATACAGGGATAGGATAACATGAAGGGTGCTGGGACAGAGAGAACTGAAGGGAGATGAGTTTAGAGGGGTTGTGGGCAAGGGTGGGGCAGGTCATGAAGGGCCTTTTGTGCTGGGAGTTTGTACTTAGATCATCCATAAGGACATGGTCTATGCTAAGCACTGGGCCAAGTGCTTACAAGGATTACTCCACTTAATCTTCACAACACCAGGGGAGCTGTTAGGATCATCTCCATCTCAAGAAAAATGAGTCAGTAGGTTGACAGAAATAAACAAAGGAAAGTGGCTAACACCACTCAAGAATGTGTTATAGGCCTTAAAAAGTCACACCCGGGGGCCAGCATTGTGGCATAGTAGGCGAGGCCACCGCCTGTGATCGGTTTGTGTCTCAGCTGCTGCACTTCCAATCCAGGGGTGCTGGTTGCTTGGGAAAAGCAGCAGAAGATGGCCCAAGTGCTTGGGTTCCTGCCACCCATGTGGAAGATCCAATGAAACTCCTGGCTCTTGGCTTTGGTCTGGCCCAGTGCCAGCTGTTGCTGCCATCTGGGAAGTGAACCAGCAGATAGAAGGTATCTCTCTCTCTCTGTGTCTCTATCTGTCTCTCTCTCTCTCTCCCCCTCCTTCTCTCTATGTAACTCTTTCATATAAATACATAAATATTAAGAACAATTGAGGGGCAGGTGCTGTGGCATAGTAGGCCAAGCCTTCGCCTATGGCCCTGGTATCCCATATGGGCGCTGGTTCTAGTCCTGGCTGCTCCACTTCTGATCCAGCTTTCTGCTTATGGCCTCGGAAAGCAGTGGAAGATGACTCAAGTGATTGGGCCTCTGCACCCACGTGGGAGACTCGGATGAAGCTCCTGGCTCCTTGCTTAGGCCTGGCCCAGCCCTGGTCATTGTGGTCATTTGAGGAATGAGCCAGAGGATGGAAGACCTTTCTGTCTTTCCCCCCCTCTCTCTATAACTTTGCCTCTCAAATAATAAAAAAAAAATCTTAAAAAAAAATAGAGTCAGGGAAAATTAGACCTGATAGCAGTAATCCATCCAAAAATCAAAACCACAATGACCTAAATTGCACAGTGTAAATTTTAAAAATAACTAAAACTTAATGGGAGAAGACAAAATTTACATCTAGAAAAAACTGACCCAGAAGAATCAGACTGGGAAGTAAAACAACAAAGAACATTCACAGTGGGAGGCTGTGACTTGGTAAAACTTGTGAAGTACAAAAGCTGATTAAC